CGGCCGTGGCGGTTGCTCCCGGCCCCATTAATGTCGGGGCCCGGCCCGGGGAGGATGGCGCCCTAGAGCCCGGGCTCGCTGGGGCCGGGGCGGGAGGGCCGGGGCGGGCGCCGGCCATGTCGGAGGGGACTCGCAGTCTGCTGCAGCGCTGGGGCGCCAGCTTTAGGAGAGGCGCCGACTTCGACTCCTGGGGCCAGCTGGTGGAGGCGATAGACGAGTATCAGATGTGAGTGACAGCCCGGCCTCCGCCGTCGTGTCTCGTCGGGTGGGTCCCGGTCCCGAGCCGGGCTGGGACGCCGGGCGGCGGGGGCGGCCGGGCAGGTCCGCTCAACAGGTGGCCCCTCTTCCCAGCCTGCCTGGCGTCTCGCGCTGCCCCGCCTCTCGGGGTGCCACCCCGCGGTCTCTTCGGAGCTTTGCGGAGTACTTTGTGTTCCCCACCCGCGTCCCAGGGGCGAGTGGCTTCACTGTGCCTTCCCCCTCCGGGGAGGGGAGAGGCGGGAGCTGGATGCAGTTCCAGGGAGGGGGCTTCCAGGAGGCTGCGAGGGTCAGGGGTGCTTGGCCTGAAAGAAGGTGGCCGAAAGAAGGCCACCCTCTCGCTGCTCCTCCACCCCTTTCTGGTGAGCGTGTTTTCACAATTTCGTTTCGGTTTCTGGGACTGTTATTTGCTAGGCTGGGTCCCACCCACCCCCTCGCTCGGCTGCTCTGGGTGGAGTCGCGCAGGATGTGAAATGCGGAGAGCAAAATGTGCATTAATAGACCACGCACGGGAGCACCCCCGCCCCGGGGTTCCTTGTCCTCTTCCTGTGTACAGTGTGTAGCCTCGGGGTACTGTCAGTGCCAGTTTCTTTATCAGCCTAAGTCTGATTTTTCTGGCTTCCCCTCCGAAACTTTAGGGTTGGTTTTAAAAGACTAGATTTATGTACAAATAAAAATCTTGCCTGGTTTCTTGGACGTATTACTGAACGCGAGAACTCCCTACAAAAATGCTATTGTTTGCAAACTGTTGCCATTAATTACTTCTTGGTTTAAAGTAAGATAGTGTTTGAGGTTTCTGAGTTTGAAACCATGTGTGGGTAAAATCTGCCCTCCACCCCGTGACTTCTGGAAAGAACGCAGAATTGGTACTTGGAAAGTGAAAACTCCTATCCCCCCCTCGTAGTGATTTGTTTTTCTTTGACCATTAATTTAGATGTGTAGATGGTCTTTACCCCATTGTACTGACTTTGAATTGCCAGTATTTTCAAAAAGCTTGAGAACAGTTTTGCTCTAGGCCATTTCTCTGCGCCTAACAACCAGTGGCATTTATTGTGCACGTCCGCAGGATTCGTTTGAGAGTGTAATTATTCTCATTTTATAAAGGGGGGACACTGAAGCCCATGTTAAACGTGCTACTCAGGATCACAAAATGATACCACTGAAATCTGGGATTTAGTTTCCTTCCAAATCCCGTCTGCTGTAATACAGAGGTGCTGAAGATGTTTTATTTGACAAATATCAATAGAGTAATTCTGTGAATAAATCAACAAATTTCAAGATTCCTTCCCTGCAAGAGAACATACCCACCACACTATAGCCCGTTAGACAGTGCCCCTGTATCCTCATTGCGTGTGTTCATGAAAACCGCCTGAGATACAAAGCCACCTCTGCTAGAATGTGGGACCCAGCAGCTGTGGGCACTGGGCAGCAGACCGCCTAGTGGAAAGTGAAGAGTACCATGTCTAATTGAAATTACAAAGGAAAATGGAGTATGCAAGCTGTTCAGTTGGAATTTCTGGAGGCATCTGAATGAGGGTAATGGCACACATACGAATCCATTGTTAGGTCTCAATGCTAGTCTTTAAATTTCGTGATTCGGAGTAGTTCCAATTACTATAAAAAAGCATTAAGTTTCAATAGAAATACATAATGATTGGCTTAACTTTTGTAAACATGCAGGCTATACATAACATGAGGTTGAGTGTACAATTTCATAATCTGGGAAATGAAGGCGAATTGCCACTCTACTTGAAAGAGCTGTTCGGAGGAAAGGCTGCAGCCAGGACCAGCGGGAGATCACTGCAACGATGTGAGCAGTTAGTGACAGAAGTTTGCAGTGACTGCGTATGGAGGGTGAACAAGGAGGACCTTCTTAAGATGGAGATTTCTAACGGAGTGGGTGTAATGTCTTTTTGCTCATACCATCTCAGAGCTGTGCCATCAACATGTAAGGATACTGTAGCTTCTACAGTTTCATCACTGAGCAAGTGAGGACTGGGGCCTGAAGAATAAAACCTGATTTCTGCCCTCCAGGCACTTGAGTTTAATGGAACATTTCAAACTAACAGCTGTTTCAGGACCTCAAGTCTGAAAAATAAACGTTCCATATACTTTGCTGTTTCCAGAAGCATTGCTCCTGTTTCAGGGCTTTTGTATTTTTTCTGAAACATTCTTCCCTCCTGGGTCACTTGGTCACCTCCTTCAGGTCTGTGTCCAAATATCATTGTTTTCAACGAGGATAAAATTGCCAAGCCTCCTGTCGGTCTCTACTTCCTCTCCCTCAGTCTAGCACATCCCTTCCATGCTGCTTCATTTGTTTACTACAGTGTCTGACAATCTGAAACACACTCTGCAACTCTCTGTTCCTCTACTGGAAGGTAAGCTCTTGGAGCGCAGAGTGGGAGGATGTGTGTTCTGGCCTCTACTCTCCAGAGCGGTGCTGGGCTGTCAGTACATGGTGGTTTCCTTAGGTGTTATGAAATTATTATATTCAGTTTGGATGAATTCAGGGGTGTTCTGTGGAAGCACGGAGGGGCTGATGCCAAAGTGCTATTGAACCTTTAAAGAGATTATGTCAAATTGTTACCCAGAACACACATGACCAGTTACAGATACCTCCATTTGGCAGGCCACCTTCTGCAGTTCCCTCCCTTGTGCTGCTCCTTGCTGTGGTGGAGTGCAGGGGAACTGTGGTTCCCCGTCAGGCCTTTCCCGGCGTGGATCCTGACGTATTTCTGCAGCGTGTGGGTGCGCGAGGAGTACCTGTTAAATGCATGGGTGGCTTTGAAGACTGGGCAGCACCTGCTTTTAAAGGTATCTTTATGGTGTGGTATAGCTGTGCTGCCTTCAGTGTGGTCCCTAGGTTGGAGCTGGTCTGCAACAAGATAAAGACATTGAGCCAAACGTTTTGAAACTCTGTAGCAACTTGACCTCATGTTATTTTCTAAATTGTATCTTCAAAATGTATTATACTGGAACAGATTGGGAGGAAAAACTAGTCCTTCACTGCAGTTTGAAAAGTGCTGACTTCTGTGTCTCTGTGGGTTTCCAACAGTGACATATTGATGTGCTTAAAGTGTTGAAAACTACCCTGTGCTGGGCCTGTTGGCGCACTCCTGTAATCCCAGCATTCAGGAGGCTGAGACAGAAGGATCCCTATGAGTTTGAGGTCAGCCTGGGCTATATAGGGAGACCCTGTCAAAATACCAAAAACCCCCAAACGAACGAACAAAAAACCCCACCCAAAATAAAAGCAGCTTCCCCCTTGAGCATGGTCCCCTGGTAGGCATCTTTGTAGAGTGAGAGGGGTCTCCAGAGAAGAACACTGACAAGTTTCTCACCTTTTGTTTACTGATCTGACAGCCAGACCAGGTAAATTTTCCTTCAGTGGACAAAATCAGGTCTCACTTTGTCTTGAAATGGCAGAGTCTTGTGGATTTACAATTTTTTTTTTTTTTTTTTTTTATGATGTTTTTTTTTTTTTTTCTTTTTTTTGGTTTTTCTCCGGTACCGGGAACCGAACTCACGACCTTGCGCTTGCCAGGCAGGCGTTTTTGCCGCTGAGCTAAACCCCCAGCCCCTTTTAAAAACAATTCTATTAAGGTATGATTTTTCTTTTTGGTACTGGGAATCGAACTCAGGACCTTGGGCTTGCCAAGCAAGGCACTGTGCTGCTGATCTATATCCTCAGCTCCAAAGTATAATTTTTATATAATGATTGTACATGTATAATTTAATGTTTTTTTAAGTTAATTTACATAGTTGTATAAGTATTGGCAAAGTCAAGTTTCAGAACAGTTCCTTTGTGGACACGCCCTGTGTGCACAGTAGCCCCAGGTAGCTGCTCATCTACATCCTGTCTCTTTACTTTTGACTTCTGGGCGTTTCGTGTAATTTGAATTACCTAATACATGATCTTTTGCATCTGGCCTTTTCCAGTTATGATGTTTTTAAGGTTCACCTACGTTGTAGCATATATCAGTACTTTCCCCCTTTCTTATTGCTGAATACTACTACCTTTTATGGAGCCAGCACATTTGGTGTGTGCATTCATGTTGTTGGACATCTGGAGTTTTGCTTATATCAGTAATACTACCCTGAGCCTTGACATACAATTCTTTATGTAGGCACATGGTTTCCTTTCTTTTGGTAGGTATTTGTAAGTGGAATCGCTGGATCATATATTAAACAGGTCATACGTTAATTTTTTTAAAAAAAACTGTCAAATTGTTGAAATTGGGTATGCCATTCTATATTTCTCCCAGCTGTGTGTGAGGGTGCTTGTCTCTGCATGTGGCTGACATGTGTTAGTGTCTTTTTGATCATCGGCATTCTAAGTAAGTCCATAGTGTGCCTCACTGTAGTTTTAATTTACATTTCCCTAATGACTAATGACACTGAGTAGCTTTTTATATGCAGAGGGAACTCTGTAGATGTATCTGTGAAGTGTCTTTTCCTATCTTTTGCCTATTTTAATTGCATCATCTTTCACCTGTTGAGTTGTAAGGGCTCTTTCTATATTCTGAATAGAGATCCTTTATTTTTGCAACCTCCCAGTCCATTGCCTAAGTTTTGAAAATAGGATCTGTTTGAATTAGCATGCTTTCTGCTGATTAGTGTTTGGGCAGGAGATTAGATCTATACTCTTTCTTCTAGCATTAATTCTGCTTAGGTTGATAACCACTATTAACAAATGATGTGTAGAAACTGCCATACCACATATTCCCTTGAGTTCATGCATGTAGGGTAAACACTGCTAAAGATATAGGCGAATGGGTCCCAGTGGAGCACCCCCTAGGTGGAGCTCAGCAAGAGTTGCAAAACAAAGTCTAGAACAAGGACAATGGCTGTATTTGTTTCTTGTATAGAATTTACAAAAAGTGAATCTATGAAATTCTAGGGAAAATATTATGAGGTTTTCAGCTTTGGAAGAAAAGATATTAATGGATGGAAGCCGCTTGATGTATAACGTGATGACACTATCCTGGTGAAAGTTAGGAGTTGTTGGAAAGAATTTTTTGCTTTATAATAAGGAATGCAAACATTCCATGAATTGGGTAGAGGTGATCAAGAATAAGACCTGACCCTTAAGGATGTGATTTTTGAGGGGCTGCGGGATTTAGCTCAGTGGTACAGCACCTACCTGGCAAGCAAGAGGTCCTGAATTTGATTCCCCTTCCCCACCAAGGAAAAAAAAAAAAAAGGATATGATTTTTGGAAACATGATGAACTATCCTCTTAAATTGTCCTGGTAGAAAAGGTTACACTTGCTACCCTTTGTCCTCATTGCCCACCCAGAATAATATACTTGGGAGTTTTATTTTTAAATTCTTTTGCCAGTTTTTCACCCTGGAATTTTTTATTGAGATAAACATATAACAGAAAACTCAGTTTTAAACAGGCAGTTCAGTTCATTTTAGGTTATTCACAGTGTGTGCCACCATCATTACTTCTAATTCCCAAACATTCCATCATCCCCAAAGGAAATCCTGTACCTAGTATTAGTCGCTCCAAATTACCCCCCTTTGCAAGCAACCACTAATGTGCTTTCTATTTTTGGTCTGACCTGTTCTGGACACTTCATGTAAATGAAGTCATATGCAATCTTTTGCATCTGGCTTCTTTAATTTGGTGTAATGTTTTTGAAGTTCATGTTGTAGCATGTTACCTGAATTTCATTCACTTTGTGACTATATAATATTCCATTGAATAGACATAGCACATTTTGTTCACCATTCATCGGGTGGAAAACCTCTGGCTGTTACAAATAATGCTCCTGTAAGCATTTGTATACAGATTTTTTTTGTATGAACTTGTATTTTCAATTCTTTGAGTTAATTAAGACTTTGATTTCACAGTGGGTTGTAGCATTTTTTATTGTCATCAGCAATGTATGAGGGTTCTGTTGTGATTACTTTTCTCATGTTGCTGAGACAAAATACCAGACTCCCAAAATTAAGGAAGGAAAGGTTTATTTAGCTCACAGTTTGTGGAGGTTTCAGTCTGTAATCAGCTGGCTCCAGGGCATGGTGGCATGGCACAGGAGCAACTGTTCAAGGTGGCAAAAGACGGTAAAAGCAACCAGCAAAAGTGGGAAAGAGCTAGCCTCTTTTCCTCCCTTATATTGTAAGCTGGCCATCAGCCCTGTGGTGGGTGTAGCACTCAGACCATCTCAGTGCCCTCTTCTTGCACAGGCTCAGGATGTTTACAAAGTGAGAACCTTGCCCCCTGCTGAGTCATTTAAACTTCTAAACTTCTCAAGTTGACACAGTGAACAACATCCTAGGGGTAAAGGATGTCTTCTGCACACTAGGATGTAGAACTGCTGAGTTACTTAGTTAAGCTTATAGGTTTCTCAAGTTGACACAGTGTGTCAACCATAACAGTTTCCAATTTTTTTCATTCTCCCCAAAATCTCTTATTTTCTCCTCTCTGTTTTAGTTTTAAAATTAGGTCTATGATGTGGTTGTGAGGTGGTATCTCATAGTTTTGATACACATTTCTCAAATGACAAATGTTGTAGCCAGAGTTTGCAAAGGAAACTATTTAATACAGGACACCTAATTTATAGGATTATTTTATAACATTCACCCAAAAAGTCAAATGCAGAAGAGTATACAGGAGATCTGTCCATGCACTACAGACCCAAAGAACCCAGCCAAGGGCTTAGATTCCATGGCAATATCCTGCACAAGTCCAAATGGAGGCATAGAACCCGTGACCATGTCTCATGCAAGCCTGTATTGAGCATCTGAACTGGGAAGGCCCAAAGATCAGTGGTGGAAGCTAGAAATTCTGCACCAGTGGGATGAAGGATCTGTGTCAGCAGGCTGAGGGATCTGCACTAGAGCCAGGAAGTGACACTCAAGGTAAGGACCAGAGCTTCCCGAAAAGTACCACAGCCACCCTCAGCAACAGTGAGGATCCAGACTCCTAGGATGAGAACAGTGAGTTTGTATCAGGAAAGCCAGTATGACAAGCATCTCCAGAAGGATCAACCGCACACCATCTTCCCCCAGAGCCAGGATCCGATGCCCAAAGTAAGGACCAGAGCTCCCCCAAGGTGAACCATGGCCATCCTCAGTGATGAGGTCCCAAGCTTCTCTGATGATAACAGCCGAGTTCAATCAGGAAAACCAGTGTCACAGTCTTCTCCAGGAGAATCAACAGCACACCTCCCCCCACCAGTTCTCCTTTTATGCTGTTGGCAACAGTCCTCAGGTGGGCCTCCCACACCCAGCACCAAGCTGATTTCAGTTCAGCTGGGTGTTACAAGTTGACCACCATTTGTAAATCCACCACAACTAAGGATGTTGAGTATCTTCTCATGTGCTTATTGGACATTTTCATACATCTTTGGAGACACGTTTATTCAAATTTTTGCCAAAATTGGCTATTTGTTGATTATCTGTAAAAGCCTTTGTATTGATTATTTGTATGAGTCCTTTGGTTTTTGTTGCCTCAGAAATAGCTTTGGGTCCTCACCAATTAACTTGGATTAATAACATATATCCCCGCTTTAAAACTCATCTGAGCTGGGTGTGGTGGTGCATGCCTGAATCCCAGCACTCGGGAGGATTGCTGTAAATTCGAGGCCAGCCTGGACTACATAGTGAGCTCAAGACCAGCCTGAACTATACAAAGTGAGACCCTGTCTAAAAAAAAAAAAAAAAAAAAAAAAACCTCATCCAAGGCTTGTCTGCTTTTTTTGTTTTGTTTTGTTTTTTGTTTTTTTCTGGTACCGGGAATCAAACTCATGACCTTGCGCTTGCCAGACAGGCGCTGTGCCGCTGAGCTAAATCCCCAGCCCCCATTTTTTTTAAGTGTGATGATAATTGGGCAAGTAAATATTTCTGTTTCTGATGAGTGCAGAACTTTCTAATTTTCAGAAAAGTTTCCAGAAGTATATTTTGATAAGAGTATCATCACTTTGTCAGGGCTATAATTTGGGTTCGGACTAATTAAATTAATGATAAATGCATAAAATTCTTCTGGTTGATATTGTTACTGGTGTTCACTGGCAGTGGGTAAGCAGAATCTGGACAACTACGTACTGGCTACTTATAGAACAAATTTGTACACACTAGAGAGAGCTGGATTAGATGCCCTTTGAGATTCCTTCCAGCTCTGAGATTTTGTTTTTACCACCTAAAGCTAAAGTTTACCCCGGTGGAATGGTATGAAAAGTACTGTATCTTATTTTCATCATGGTGGTGTGGAGTTTGATTCTAATGGTAATGTAGATTAATACTTTGAAAACAGAACGAAGTATTGCTGTGCTTTACTATCTTTAAAAGATTGAATTTTTTTACCTTGTTGCAGTTGAGATAGTTTGCTTTATTTCAATTCTAAAGAATGTTTTCTCCTTACAGATTAGCAAGACATCTACAAAAAGAGGCCCAAGCGCAACACAATAATTCTGAATTCACAGAAGAACAAAAGGTACCACAAAATAATCTCTAGATATAGCCGATTCCAAATGGAAAGGGTTCATCTGTTACTCAAAAATAAACCAAAAAAAAAAAAAAAAAGAAAATGGTTACAAATAAGTCAAAACAGAACAGAACAAACAAAAACTAACCATACTGGTTATGCTTAGTCTAACATTAAGTGCTTATTTGGAGACACCATATAACTTATCACTTAATGAATTTCTTTGCTCAGCCATGGAGGGTTTGCTTAACTGTGCTGGCGACCGCCCTCTCAGGGAGAGGAGGGAGCCCAGCCGGGAGCTCAGTTAGAGTCTCTTGGGAAAACAGGACTGTGAATAATCGCATCCCACCTCCACATGGACTGACTTTGAGCTTTCAGAACTCTACTTCCTCTCAAAACCAGCCAGCAAACCCACACAATCAGATCAAACAAACCAATAAAATCACTGAAAAAAAGTGAGTTTAAGTCAAGAATTTGCCTTACAAATCAATCAGCAAAATCAGTGTACAAAGTTGCAAAATGCTTTGGTGGTGTTTTCTCTTTGAATTGGAACTTTTGTGTGTCAGGGTGAGTCCCTGAACTCTTAGAGACTGTGGAAAATGGGCTACATTAAAGAGACCAGTCAAAAAGAGAACAGAATTTCTCTAGGTTCATTGAAAAGAAAGGTTTGTGCTAATATTGTTTGGATGATTAAATGCCTATATCTTGTACTCTGAGTAACTAAAGATAACAATATGTAGTGTATTAACCAGTTACCCTCCTGTTATCTTGTTTTGAAATTTTGGAGTTTTTTTCTCTTTAAAAAAATGTGAGAAGTGGGAGGAAGCAGTTCCCATTTTATCCCGGCTCCAGCTAGCTCAGGGTAAGTCAACCTTTCATCCGGTAGAGTGAAAAAAAGTCTTAGTCTTTCCTGCATCTCAAGCCTAAACAAATTTGTTTAGCCTGCAGACATTGTTCATTGAGTCTGAGTTAACAGGAGTTTGGGAAGAAAAAGTCTCCAAAGATTAGAAATTAGCCATATTTCTTGCCCAAATTAGTATATTTACATTTTTAAAATATTTAGACTTCAAGTTACATAAATTGTATTTCTAGAAAATTCATGTTGTACAATTTAAAACAATATTTTTCTTTTTCCCTTAATAATTGCTAATATCCACAATAGTTTTAGGAGACTTGGAGTTTTAGCCCTGGAAAAATAGTTATCATGGAGAAAGCAGCTGATTTGCTTAAGGAAGGGAACAGGTTATCGCAGCAATGGTGAACCTTTTAGAGAACAAGTGCCCAAACTATAACCCTCTTATTTATTGCAAAGTGTCAGTGTTGCTGGGCATGGTGGCACATACCTGTAATTTCTGCACTGGGGAGGCTGAGGCAGGAGGATCACCTCGAGTTCGAGATCAGCCTGAACTACACAGCAAGATCCTGTCTCAAAAAGACCGCCCCCCTCCCGCAAAAAAAAAAAATAAATAAAGTGCCAACATTGCAATTAAACCTGAATATGGAGTTTTAGTTTGGAAAAATACCTGTTATGCAATGCTTGGCTGCTGGGTGGCTTGGCTCGTGTGCCCGCAGAGAGGCCTCTGTGTGCTTGCCATGGTGTACGTGCCATAGGTTTGCCATTGCTGGACTTTTCACTTGAGCACCTCTGTGAGATTTGCGAGTCTTTCTAGGAGTTGAGTAGGAATTGATCAGTTGGTGTCACAGATTTGGGACTTAAAATGCCTGAATTTTGGTGAATAGAACCAAAGTAGATAAATCATTGATAAGTGTGTTATGAATATAGAAACAGTGAAAGCTTAAGGAACTTTAAAAATTTTTAGTGACCTCGTATTTTATTCACCTGTTTGCCTTGAGTTACTTCTGTGTTTTATTGCCAGTATCTGTTGCTTGGGAACAAGACTGGTGAGCCGTAAGACCCCAAGTAAGAAGTGGTTTGACCTCTTAAAACATAATAATAAAATCCCATGTACACATGCAAATACCACCAGGAGGTGAGCCTTGCATTGTGACTAGACTAGAGAGAAAAAGCTTAACCTTAATTTTCTTGAAAATGTTTGATAGTGCTGCTTGTTCTTTAATCTATGGCTGTCCCACAGCAGCCACCGGGTTACTGTCCTTTCTCAACTTCTCATTGGTAACAAAGACACCAGCAGGGTGTGGTGGTGCACACTTGTAATCCCAGTAATCGGTGGGTTGAGGCAGGAGGATGGCTGAGAGTTCAAGACTAGCCTGGGCTACATGATGAGTTTAAGGCCAGCCTGAACTACACAGCGAGACCTCTATCTCATAAAACAAAGACAAAAACAAACAAAAATGCCCAGGAGCCAGGAAGCAGCTCGGCCTAGAAGAGCAAGCTGAGCTCTGGAGTCAGTAGCGTCTGCGTTTGCCTCTGGCTTAGTGCCTGAATTTTTCTGTGTGTGAAAGTGGCGATAGATAACCATAAGTGACCTCAGAGGTGTTCTCCCCAGACAAACCTCTGGTGACTCTGCCTGGGGGTCGCTGTGGCCGACTCTCGGGCGTGCCACTGGTCATGGAGAGGACCTTGGGCTGTTCTGTCTCTCACAAGGAGGAGAAAGCAGGTGGGGTGCACTGAGAAGAAATTGCATTTTCTTTAAAAACACAGGGGAGCAGCCACAACTGACCAAAAAACTGTGACAGGTTCCCAGGCTGTACCTAATATCACATAGACAGAAGGTTCTTAGAGGCCCCACATTAATAAATAATTAGAAAATAATAATCTTCCAGACACATTCTGGGGAGTATTGGTTCTGAAAAATAAATAGATGTTGTTGGGCAGTTGCTGATCTCTCCCGCCTTCACCGTGCTGGTGTGTGTGTTGGATATTTGAAAGGTGGGAGTGTGCAGTATTCTCAGGTTTGCCTTTGGGTGTCACCTCTCCTCCCCCGCCTTTGCATACGGCTCACTGTGTCTCCAGTTCCGCAGAACATCAGATGGGAGATTTCAGCACAAACTTTTGGACCTGCAAAACGGATTTAATGCTATGCCTGGTACATAAGCTGGAGAAATAGCGCCACTGTATTCTCCTCAAAATAGGAAAAGAGAGAATATTCCTTCCTTTCTTAGCAAAACTGTTTATGTTTTCTATTTTAAATTATGTACTTTATACTTTCACTATTATCAGTGTTTTGGTAGCAATGTTTTGGTAGATCTTAGAATTATAGCAACCATTTAATAATTTGTGGGACTTTGATAGATTTTTTTTCTAAAAAAAACCTATCATATTTGTATCTGTATGCAGCTTTTTCCTGTCTACCTCACATTGAAGTCTCAAAAATACTTGATGAATAAGTGGTTTGTTGCATCTTGGGTTATTGATATTTATTTGTGATTATTTTAAGATAAGTCCTAATTTTAGAAAAACTTACATTGTTTTTAAATCTGAAGAACTCTGTAGCAGAACTACTATTCTCTCCTAGCCAAATTAGTTGGTGTGGGACAGTGTAAAAACTTCAGATGAATCTTTTATTCTTACTATTCTCAAAAGATTTCTGGTGTAAAATAAGACCAGATTCTTATTTTGCCCTCCCTCATGATTAGCTTTCGTTTCGGTTCTCCGATAGTTTTATCATTATAAAAACTGCGTTTAGTAGCCAAGGAAAAGCTGCCAAAAGCTTTCGTTCCCCTGAATTCCCTGCTTTGGTGTAGTAGATTTTCTCACATAAGTTTCTGGACCGAGAAGAACTTCCTGTCTTATGACACTTAGGAAGTTTTCCCATTTTGTGTCAGATTTGATGGCATGAGAACCCAGCACTGAGCGCTTGCCTTATGTTTCTAGGGTCCCCGCCTGTGCCACCTTCCCCGTCCCCTCTCCCACCCCCAGCTAGACAACTGGCTGTTTAAATATGAAAACACTAAGCCCGGATTAAGTGAAACTACACTGCTTTTTGTATATTTTTAAATTGGTTTTTCCTTATATAAATTGAGTACCTTTTAGCAAGATTAAATTGATTCTTTAATTGTTTGTTTTTATCTATCTTTTCTCTGAACTTTCTTGAAGTCTTCCTAAAATTGAACATCATTTACCTGCAGTGCTTAGTGTGAAGGCACGTTAACTGTCAGCACTTACCCTCACACATGCAGCTGTGCCTCGTAATCGTTTTCGGAACTGTCCTACAAAAGGTGCAACGACTTCAGTAGCAAGATCTGGTTTTGACATAAATAAGTTCTGCATGTGTTAAAGGTTATTGCCACAGCTGACATGATAGTGTTTCACTCTTTTTTTAATACTGGGCTTGGGTGTGGTCCCTTAAAATAGTTATGAATAATGCCTATTGGTATTTTGCCATAGTTCAGTACATTTCTGTTAAAAAGCTGTTGCTTCTGCCTAGCTTGGAGAAACATTTAAAATTAAAATAGTTTATCAGTGGCCTCCCAGTTGTTAGTCTGCAACCTTTTTATCTTAAACATGGAAAGGATGAGATCAAATGGATTTTGTAGTAAAGAAGGGAAAGAAGTTTACTGTTTTTAAAGACTAACTCATTCACATATCTCAGTACAGACACAGTTCTTACAAGAGAACGTAAGTGGCGGCAGCTCAGTGGCCGCACTCTAGTTAAAGTGCGCGCCTCATGCTGTGTTGTGCAGAAGGGCTGGTGCCTCAGCTGGCACATGTGTAAGTGGCGGGGTCTGACTGGGCCCTAGGGCAGACTAAGGACGTCCCTCGGGAGAGCTGCTGCTTTGGACACACTCCATGGTCGCTCAGGACTGTTCCCTGGCTCGGCCAGAGCTGAGTAGTGTCCTTGAGCAGCAGGGATTTGAGGGCAGCAGAGCGTGCCTAGCAAAGGCTACTGCTACTTTCCACAGAATAGCGGCTTAAAATGTGAGTCTCTTGAATCCCTTTACAGTTACCGTGTATGAATGTAGTTGCCAAATGTAGACTTGCAAAACGGAATGAGATGTTTCCAAACATTTATACCAGGACTGAAGAGGATGTTTCAGGCTGTGGACGTGGTGAGCCCCTAGCCGGCTCCAGACGGGCCCCTTGGGGCCTGGCATCCTGCTGCTGGTCTGCAGCGCCCACCTACCTGAGTCCTCAAGTTCCCCTTCCCTCCTCACTCACCTTCCAAAGAAAGTCAGCCTGAACCTCCCCTGTAGTCCCGTGTGCTGGGCGTGTGCAGGGCGTGTGCAGGGCGTCAGTGCACTTTGAGAAATGCCCCCTTCCAGGATAGTGTGTCATGCAGGCGTCGCAGACACTGCACGCACACCTCGTCCCTGCAGGGACTTCAGAAATGCCGGGAAGGACCTAGATGTGTGGGTGGACATAATTCAGCCATCTTCCCTGAGAATTTCTTTTGTGAATCTCTTTCATTTCCCCAGTCATGTGAACCCTTGAAATAACCTGATTTTGCCTTTAGTTTTTTTTCCTTTTCTGTTTCAACCTGTGAATGCTTTTATGGGGGAGAGGCATACTGGGGATTGAACCCAGGGTATTTGCACTGAGCTACATATCCAGCTCTTTTTTATTTTGAGACAGGGTCTTATTAAGTTGCTAAGTTACACGGGCTGGGCTTGAACTAGGAATCCTCCTGCTTCAGCCTCCCAATTTGCAGGGATTGCAGGTGTGGGCCATCAGGCACAGTACAGCAGTCTTCCTTAAAGGCAGAGGTGACGTCCTGAACAGAAACTTTCTGTGTAGCCTGTCACTGCAGCAATCCCCATCTCTCAGCTAGGTGTTGAAGGCCATTCATTTCAGGATGGAATGGGCAGCTTTGCCTCTCACACGTTTCCCTGTGCTTCCCGTTTGGGGCTGTAGCCGGTTGACAGAGGGTGATTTTCTAAATGCCTTCACTGCCCCGCTTCTGTTTCCTAATGCAGATCTTGTTTCTTTAGGATGTACCATGGCTCACTTTGCTGAACCTTACAGAACTGTCTTTGCTTTTGAGTTTCGGTGACTCTGTGTGGTCTCATACGGTAGAACACAGAGTTATAAACGCAGTGACTGTCCTGTCACTTACAGTCACTTTGTAACTCACTAAACAGATCTGACTGTAAACTGTGCCCCATTTTTCACAGGTATTATTACCTATATGTTGAACAAGTCAGGGTTCATCGTAATTATACCATGATGCTGACTTGCAGACATTTTTGCACTTAAGTCTTTTAGTGGCTATCAGGCTTTATGGAAAAGAGAAGATGAACCCTGGGCGGAAAGGTTGTTGGGAAACCCTTTTCATTTCCCTTTTAATTTTCTCTAGTTTTACATTAATTTTTAACTGTAACGTGGTGGGGCAGTGTGTTTGGGTAGTGTATACCTTGTGTAATGCTTCTCTCCAGGTGAACCTGCTCAAATGCCTGTCTTCTCCTTGTGAAAACCTGTGCAGCTCTCTCTCCTAGCTGGGGGAACCGTACAGTGCATTACTGCTGTTCACGATTGCCTCTCTCCTGCCTCAGGTGGCCACTGCTCTGTCTCAGCCTTTACAGGTTCTGCTTTTACGCGTTCTGCACGAGTGAGATCAAGCAGTGTCTCCTGTGCCTGCCGTAGTTCACGTGACGTAATCGCCTCCAGACTCTCCAGGTTCTGTCGAATGACAGGCTGCTTGCTTTCTGTGGCCAAATAGTGCTGGTTTGTGGACACGGGCCTCGTTTTCCTCCCCCGTGCGTCTGTCGCTGGTGCCTAGGTCAGTGCCACATCTCGGCTGTCAGGCCCAGTGCTGCGCTGAGCGCAGGCACAGAGGCCTCTGGGGCACACAGTTTCCATTGCCTGTGGCTCTGTACCGTGTGGGACAGGGTCATATGGGAAGTTCTATTTTTAATCTTTCGAAGAACCTCCCTACCGCTTTTCATAATGTCTGTGTTCAGCTGTCAGTCACTAAGGCCAACTTGATTGTTTTGGTCTTTTTTTCTTCTTGAAACAGGGTCTCGCTATGCAGTTCACGGTGGCCTTGAACACAGTTTGTAGCCCACACTGGCCTTGATCTCACACAGATCCTCCTGCCTCAGCCTCCCAAGTGCTGGGATTACAGGCATGTGCCACCACGCTCAGCAGCAAATTTGATTTAGTAGTTGTGGCTTGTTACGTTAGGAGAGAATATATGCTTGCTTTCCTTCATCTCAATCCTTTGCCTCTTCTTTCTCTTAAATCTGTAAGATGCTAGGAAGAAGTATAATTCAACTTATTTAAGACAATTATAGATCTCTCTTTTTTTCCTTTCTTCTTTTTTTGGTGCTGGATATTGCACCTGGGGGCTCACACTTGTTAGGCAAGCGTTCTGAAACTGAGCTGTCATCCTCAACCCCTATTTTGGTTTTTGTTTGTTTGTTTGTTTTGAGACCAGATCTTGCTGTGTCTTCCAGTTTCCAGGCTAACCTCAAACTGAGCTCAAGTGATCCTCCTTCCTTACCCTTCCAGTTAGTGGGACTACAGGCACGTGGTACCACTCTGCCTGGATAGACCTCTCATCAGTAAGATATTAACTTGATTGTAACAACTGACAGTTATAATAGTTTATTTATAGCATTTTTTTTTCCCTACAGAAAACCATAGGCAAAATTGCAACATGCTTGGAACTGCGGAGTGCAGCTTTACAGGTAAGTAGAGATTTTCCTTCTTTCTAACACAAGGCAAAAAATTATTCTGATAAGGCATTAGGAAATCATGTCCAAAGCAGTGTTGTTGTGGTTGTCTTAGGAGTGCTTTATAACAATAAAAGTTTATCATTTGAACTCAGACTTAAATGATTTAGTTCATATTTTGTGGACTGTAGAAATAAAAGATATGACTTTAAATTTTTCTATTGCTTTTGCCCTGAATGGTTCAAGAATGTAAAAACAAACAAAAGCCAGTTTAGGACTTTTCATTTTGCTATTTGAAAATAAGAAATAGATTCATTTTGAGTATTTGGTTCTTGCTACTTAAAAAAACATATTGAAGGGACTGGGGATTTAGCTCAGCGGCACAGCACCTGCCTGGCAAGCGCAAGGTCATGAGTTCAACTCCCGGTACTGGAGAAAAACCAAAACCAAAAAAAAAAACGAAAAATTGAAACCTTTGTAATCAAAGATATAATATGCATATTTTGAATTTAGTCCACACAGTCCCAAGAAGAATTTAAACTGGAGGACCTGAAGAAGCTAGAGCCAAGTAAGTTTTCTGACACCTTTCAGCAATATTCTTTTTAAAAAGTACTTTAAACCGGGCGTGGTGGCGCACGCCTGTAATCCCAGCACTCAGGAGGCTAAGATGGGAGGATCATTGTGAGTTTGAGACCAGTCTGGGCAACAAGGTGAGCTCAAGTCCAGCCTGAACTGCGTAGCAAGACCCTGTCTCAAAAAGACAATAAATACATAAACAAATAAATAAATAAATTTTTTTGAAAAGAGTACTTTATCTGTTACAAAGTTATGTGTTATGTAGCACAGATGCTGATCCAACTTATTCCCCTTAATATTTAGTCCTGCGTGATCTTTTCTGCCCTTTTAAAATTCCTACAGTATTGTTTTGATTTCATCCTCACTGTAGAAGGTATGAGGTTGTGCTTCATCTAGATATGTTTAAGTCATGCTTTGTCCTGATGGCTTTCATAGGGCCGTCGTTCCTCAGGCACACACTGACCGTTAAGTCCAGAGGGGATGTGGTCACAGTCATTGACACTGTTCCTCTGCATGTCATTGAGAGCTGCATTTTGGCTTTTGGGATGGGCTGTAAAATATTCCCTTGTATTTCGTTTTTTCCCCATCTCTAAAACTTTTTGAAGTCATTTCTTCTAATATTTTGGTGCTTAGAGTCCTACAAATAAAGTCTGTTTGCTGGTTCAAATGAATGCCCTCTTAGAAACATCTGCAGCATGGGCAGAGTTGAATAGAAGGCCAACTGAGTGGAAGTCAGGTACTCCCCTTACACTGAGACAAGATCACCCATCTTAGCTGCTTTTGTAAACAGGAACTAGGAGATTTTATTTGTCCGTTTTGAAGTCAACTTTCTAAGTAGGGAATCATGAAACCTTGGCATTTTAGATCAGAAAAGAGTCTCAGTCGTGGAGTTGCATGCTCTCACTTTGTAGTTGAATATCCAGTTTCTCTCTGAACTTCTGGAGCTGAGCTGGGCCTGAGTCTCAGGACACAGGTCTGCAGAGCTCGGTCCACACAGCTGCCGTCCTTTTGATGTTTCCGTGCACGGGTAGGAGGTTACAAGATAAAATTTTAAGAATTAGGGGCTGGGGATTTAGCTCAGCGGCAAAAGCGCCTGCCTGGCAAGCGCAAGGTCGTGAGTTCGGTTCCCGGTACCGGAGAAAAACCAAAAAAAAAAAAAAAAAATTTTAAGAGTTAAAGAGAATGTTCATAAAAATTTCACAAACTGCCAGTTTCTCACTCGTTTGTAGCAAGTCTGATACAGACATCCATGCTTAAGGAGCAGAAACGTGATTGTGATTGCAGGCCCAGGACAGACAGCAGCCCTGGAGGAGTTTGTTATTTGTGTTGGTAGACAGAAGTAACAAACAAGAACATATAGCAGATTTGTTGTGATTCTGGTGGCTTTTCCACAGTTGTTAGGTGATCGTGTTTCATCTCTTCAGAATGCTGTCCTGAATATGGCAAGAATTATGATGAACTATGTCATTTTAATAGTTCTGGTTACTTTATGTAATCCAGATCATACTTTTTTTTCTTGTGGTGCTGGGGATTGTATCCATGGCCTTAAGCGTGCTATGCAATAGCATGCCCTGAACTACTGCCAAATTACTTCACTGGCTCTAGATCATAAACTCTTTATTAGAAGAGACATAATTCTATATTCAGAAATGGTTTTTACCCATGTCCAAAGTATATAGTGATGGCAATCAAGTGGTGCAGAAATTCTCACAAGTTTTTATTTTTAATGACCATATTTTCTTCTATCCAAAATTTTGTTTGGTATCTTTTAAAAAATCATTAACAGATACTTCGTGTAGGATTATATTTATACTTGCTTTATCGATGTGTAATTTATCTGTCACACAATTTGCCAGTTTAAAGTGTACATTTCAGTGCTTTTCAGTACTCTGGCAGTCCGGCACCCACCACTACCACTGACTTGAGGACATTTTCGTCACCTTAGAGGAACCCTGTGCCCATAGCATTCTCTCCTTCCCCCCCCACCCCACCCCTGCCATCCCTCACCCTGGGCAATCACTGATTTCATTTGCCTCTTCTGGACATTACGTATAAGTGGAATCCTGTAATATATCATCTTTGGTGACTGGCTGTGTTTAAGGTTATTTTGAGAAAAGAGAACACATTGATGGCATTAAGTAAAAGATTACAGAGGGGCCAGGGATATAGCTCATTGGCACAAGGGCCTGCCTGGGAAGTGGAAGGTCATGAGTTCGATTACTGGTACAAAACAAAAGATTACAACTATAGTTAGGGTTTCTGTGATATAGTGGTTATAAAGAAAAGCATTACATTCAATTTTTAATGATAAGGTAATTACAGTAGGGTTTGGGCTTCTTAATTTATCACTGTTTTTCATTAGCTTTGTTTCTTTCCAAGGAATATTTAAGAAGCTTAGAGCTGCACAGGGTGACCCTGAAGACTGTGAGCTATTTGTCCTTAGATCTTTACTATCTCCTCCTGAAAGCTTGCTCCATGGCTGCTCCTGCTGCCCTGCTCGATCTTGGCCTGGATGCTGTTCTTAGAGAAGCAGCTCCGTGCGGAGCACACACGAGAAGCCCTCCTGCTGCAGCTGGCTGGCCACACGGCGCACAGCCCTGCAGCGCGTGCGTGCGAGGGACAGGTGTGGGCTCGCGAGGCCAACACTGACGTCAGCCCTACGTGCTGTGTTGCTCAAAATCAGCGAGATTATTAATCCACGTGTTCATGAAGTAAAATCAGTGATGGTCTGTGTGTGTGTGTGTGTGTGTGTGTGTGTGTAATTTATTAAAGCTGAGGGCTTTTTGAGTTAATTACTTTTATCAAGAATTAGAACACTTCTAAGGTTGATATTTGACTATTTCATATTGTTTTCTTAGTACAGCTTGCCCTTGGTCAAGCCTCTTCTAAGTAAAATTGATGAATATAGGTTTTAATATGTTGAACTTAGCTAGTTTACTTTTCAAATCTCTTGAAACTCCTATCTGAAATTTATACTAAAACAATGACTATGAAAGTACTAGTCATTTTTCTTGTGTTAATCCTTACTGATATACTGCTTTTTTCTCATGCATACCTTCCCACCCCCATGCTGTAAAATTCCTTTCCATTAATTTATCCTTCGAGGTTGCACAGAAGTCCTTCCTTCCCCCCAAAGCTTTCCCTGCTTTTTCTAGCCCTCTCACCCTAACTGTGTAGTGTCCCTTATAGGAGCATTTTTCTAATATCCAGAATCAGAGCCTGCCCTGTATTATTCTCATGTATTTTTGTTTCACTTCTCAAAGAAAGTAGGAATAACCTTTGTATTTCCCTGCAGGGCCCATGCTGTGCTCTGTATTCAGTCTGGACTTGGCAGGTTTGTGTTGAGTTGCATAAATGTGACTGTCTTGAGGGAATCTTCTCCTATAATTTGAAAAATAACCTTTGAGAATGGAAGCAGTTGCCCAATTTGCCTACCACAAAAATGAAGCACGTCAGCCACAAAGGCGGAACACTTTTTGGATGTTTGTGCGTGCGTCATCCTGAGAGTGTAGGCGTCAGGACGGTGGCAGCCCACACTCCGTGAGCGCCCCACGTGTGCCCTGGTGAGGACCTCGTCGGGTCTGCTGTGCAGGGCCAGCATGTGTGCGTGCGCTGGCTGAGCCTTCTGTGACACCCCACAGAGTATTCGCTGCTCCTCGCCACATCATCCTAAAACACCAGTGCTGGGTTGGTGGAAGGAAACCTCCTGCAAAATTTACGGTAGAGTCCTGTTTTAGAAGAACATTAGAATCTGTCATTCCATAGCTGGTGAAAGTAGAAGCCTGTCCTACTGTTAGGGGTAGTAGGAAAGGGTTCATTTTTTCTCCCAAAGCTATTGCTGTAAACATTGGATATATCTAACTTGTAAAAATAAAACCAGAGGCTACTATGTCAGAGCAAACATTTCCTTTTCAAAGTGATACCTAAGAAAAGAAAGTAATTCTTCTCTTACCCTACAAATACAGGATAACTGATATCATTTCCAATTTTAAAAAAATTTACTTTATACATATTTTAAAGAATAGTTTCTCATTTCATTAGTATTAAAACATAATTCATTTTATTATTATTAAAGCATGACCATTTCTGTTTTGTTTCCGATATGCCTGACATAGTCTGTTTTGGCACCTGTTCCCCCTTGTCAGTATATTACACAGTGCTCGGAAGTGATTGATTGGTAGTTACTGGGCTGAATTAACAGCATACTAATAATGACGTGCAGTAAGTTTAGAAAAGATGTTCTTATTTTGAAAAACAGCACTTCTTAGTGAGCTGTGAAACACTAGCATTTGAGGCACCTAGGAGGGAAGGCCATGGAGAGAATGAACTACTGTGTAACAGGGTGGGCTCCCACTTGCGTGGTATTTTAAATTTGTCCATACGGTCTCATACTTAGTTAATTTTAGTTCTCCTAGCAGTCTCTGGAAGCATGGCGTTCCATGTTAGAGCGGGGGAGCCTGAGATTCGGGATGTCACGCAAACGTTCGTGTCACTGGCGTAACCCAAGGGGCAGGACTCTACTTCAACAACGTCTTTCACCTTCTGCCACTTCCCCCTGCTGGTCAGGCCGAAGCCCTGCCATCCGTTCCGTCTTCGAAGAAGCGCAGCTGTTGCCTCCTCAGAGCCTTCGCTGCTGTGGGCTCTTCTCCTTTGCTAGAGTGCTTGGGGGGCGCGTTTTTCTCATCTAACAGTGTAGTTTTGACAGGATTATCCTGTCCAGCTTGGCGGCGCCACCTAGCACTCACACTGCGTACTGCGTCTATTCCCGTCCTGCTTGTGTCCTTCATAACACGAACTAACCCCAGTCTTAAATTTTCTTGCTTGTTGGCAAATTTATTGTTCACTTTTCCTAAGCAGGGTCTAATGTCTGGATGCGAGTTCTTGATCACTCTGTATTTTTAGTACCTAAAGCAGTGTCTGTGTTTAGAGGTGCACATAGAAAAGAATTCTGATGTAAAGCTGGGTGTGGTAGCTCACACTTGCAATCTCTGCACTGTGGGAGGCTGAGGCAGGAAGATCACAAATTTGAGCCCAGCCTGGGGCAACTTCGTGAGGTTCTGTCTCAAAATAAAAAATAATAAAAAGGCCTGGAGATGTACCTCAGTGTGAAAGCCCTGCCTGGACTCCTTCCCAGTACTGCTAGAGGGAAGAGAGGGGAGTGGGAGGCAGTTTTGAGAAGCAGATCTAACTCCTGTTGGAGTAAGTCATGTAATTGCAGCCTCCTTTGGGATGCTCGTCCGTTACACCTCGTTCAGCGCTGCCTGCGGGACTCCAGAATTAAAGGCTGAGCAAGCTGAGTACAAAGTCCTGGGAACCTTGGAGGGTGCCCGGTTAATGCTGTGAGTCCACCTTGACTGATGCAGGTAGTTACTGGGAACCCTTACGGCCAGAAGTGAGACAGTGCGTTGCATACCTGCAGTGCTTGCCCAGGTAGAGGTAGGGTTTAAGACTGAGCTGGCACGCCAGAGCGTGGTCAGAGATGCAGATAGGCAGGACTCAGCAAGTCCTGCCGTGTTGTTTGAGGACTTCTCTTGAGGCTGGATCCCACTGTGTGTGTGTGTGTGTGTGTACGTGTATGTCTACATATGGTTTATATATATACGATTATATGAGATTAGAGCCTCTCAGCTACAAGCCTTACCAGTTTTACAGTGTTCAGAGGAAACCTACTTAATACAGAGTAAGATGTGCTCGTGTGGCTCCCACAAATTGGTCATCTTTGATATCAGTCTTTTAATCAGAGTACTTCAGGAAAGAAGTGCTCATTCTTTGTTACCCCATTTTTGCTGAGACCTTCTGGCGACAGATCCACAGTGGCTCTGGAATGATAGTAAGGCTGGGAATTTACAAACATATTGTGCATAGTAAAGATGATTAGCCATTAAAGACTGTTTAAGATAAAATAACTTGGTTTTTATTCACACAAGAATTCATGTTTCTGTATCTTTTCATTCTAGTTCTAAAGAATATTCTTACGTATAATAAAGAATTTCCATTTGATGTTCAGCCTGTCCCTTTAAGGTAAAATTTTGAGAAAACCATTCATATGTTACTTCTTACTTTGCTGTCTGTTTTATACCTACTTTTCGGATATTTCTGTTTCTGACACCAGTGTTGGTATCATTGGTGTGACTGGTATCATTGGTAGCAGTGATACCAATGGCATCAACATTGCTATCAGTAGTATATCAGTTTTTTAAAAAATAATCAGCATCGTGCCTTGAGAAATGAGTATCTGTGAAGCTTCACTGGTATATTAAATGTTGTAGCTCACTAATTTTCCTATCCTTTTTCATGTAGAAAAATTTTAGCACCTGGTGAGGAAGAGAATTTGGAATTTGAAGAAGATGAGGAAGAGGGTGGCGCTGGAGCAGGGTCTCCGGATTCCTTTCCTGCTAGAGTCCCCGGTGGGTAGCACATGTGAAGAGTATATGTACTCAATCCAGGGGCAAGGTACTGGGAACTTACTTTAGATTCTTGCTAGGGAATAAAACCTCTCCGGAGCCCATGCCCGTCTTGAGCAAATTTCCATGGGCACTGTGTGCGGTAGCTGTGGGTAGGTGTCGTGTGAAAGTACCTTCCTGTCTGTGACAAGGGTGCTTAAGTAATCCTTACGCTCAGGGACGCCCCAGAGGAGCTGTGCGGCCCAGGGTATAGTTGTGCTGATGGTTACGAGTTGTTGCAGCAGAGCACACAAAAACAAACTTGGCCAAGACAAGGCACGAGGCTGGTGTCCAGAAGAAACCAGGAGTCCCTGGGTAGACTGAACCTGGCATGAAGTGGGCAGCACCTCCAGAGAGGGCAGCTCCTTGTGAGTCTGGGCTGAGGGTAACATACTGAGCCACTGCCCTCATCTTTCTCTGAGAAGTAAAGAAGCTTATTCACGGAAGATCTCAGTGAGCATTTCCCTCTCCATAAACGAGCCCGGCAGACATCCTGGGTAAATCTTTTCTCTCTCCCAGTTGTGGCTTTACTGTGTCCTGTTCTTATGCACTGCACGGTGTTTATTGCTGGCCAACCAGGTCACTTTGGGAAGTGCAGCTGTAAAACTGTGATGCAGTTGGACTAGACTGTAAACCGTATCATTCCATGCAGTGTGTGTATCTGGGCATTTTCATCACGGAGGTATCAGCCCAGCGTTTCTAACACTCCTTGGGGAGGAGGCAGCTCGGGCGGGGACAGACGGGCAGCTGGGCTGTGCGTCTGGCCTCCATAGTCACTGCCAGGTGACGCTCACCCAGTCTTCATGAGTGGCACGAGAGTGCCGACTCCCAGGCTATTTTAGGGAATTTTAAGATTGCTGAGATGTTGAAGTAAGTAGCTGTGATGCTTTCTCGACTGGGTGATCTTTACTCCCTCTTCAGGCTGCGTACTGCAGTCGATGCAGTTGCAGCTGTGTGAATTTCTGCCTGCTTGGTTGTTCGCTCCCTTGCTGTAGCTCTGTAGCACACAAGGCCCTTTAAGCAGCAGAGCTGTCATGAGACACAGAGGTGAGGTCTTTATGGGCTTGCGGTGCCAAGTTGAACGGAGATTTCCCCTGTGAATTAAATCCATTGGCTGTATGCAAGCTGAATTTAGAGTTTTGTGTTCTGGTATAGTATTTTTTTCCATTTCATTTTAGAGATACAGGAGGCTCACTGAACCCTTCTAGTCTGAATTTTTTCCCCCTCAGAGTAAGAAAAAGAATGTGTAGCTTAATTGGCAGTACTTGGTTGGGAACCGTGCTGTTCACGGCTGTGTCACTGAAAACAAACTTGTAGAATTATAGTCATTGAAAGTGGCATCAGCAGGGAGGGAGGGCAGGGACGATGGAGGAGGATTCAGATGTGTTAGGTACGTGTGCCGCGCGCCACGGGGAGCATGACAAAGGGCTGCCCCTTTGTAAAAAGCACCCTCCCCAAAGTCAGTTTTGGTGAGGTGTTGTTTACATACATAAAAGTCGCTGCAGTTTCCTAAGTTCTGACAAACACACACCCTAGTCACTTCCGTTCTGCTAAAGAGCTGAGGCAGAGGGTGCAGATGTGCTTTGACCAAGAGTAGTTTCTTTTCACTTAAAACTAAAAGTGAGTTGTTATCCAACCTTACTAAAAAGAGTAACAAGTTGTTAGGCTTAGTCTGTGTTTCAAAGGATTTAGTCTCACAAGGCAGGCAGTGCGTTTCTGTTACGTATAAGCCAGCACTTGCTGAAGTCACGATAGAAGTTGAGTCAGGCTGCTAAAGGTGGCCTCGGTAGGCTGCACGAACAGAGGGCACAGAAACTGAAAGGAGACCCCGACTAGGCACAGTCCTGCTACGGCCACATGCTGCGGGAGACGCTGCTCATCTGCTGTGGGGCTGCGGTGACAGGGACTGCGAGTGGGTAAGGCTGTCTATTCCAGGGGCTCAGAGTGGCACCCCGCATGGTCTCACCTTGCGTGGGCACCCCCCTTTGTCACCTCAGCTCAGAGCTACATTACCTTTGCTGCACTCCTTCCAAACATTGTTAAGGCCAGGCTTGGTGGCGTATACCTGGCATCGCGGCACTTGGGAGGCTGAGGCAGGAGGGTCGCTGTGAGTTCAAGCCCAGCCTGTACTACACAGGGAGGCCTTGTCTCAAAAACCAACAAAACAAAACTAAAAATTGCTAAGAATGTTTTAAATCTAGACTGGGTTTAAAACTTAATTGAAGACTTTCTGCATCTGTTGATGATTATGAAAATTTCTCCCTTCATCTGCTAATGTGAACTACCTTGGTACATTTGCTAATCTAACCAAGTATTTTGGCAAACAGTCATTAGTTCAGGAGATTTTCCTGATGACATTTAGCGTCACGGGCCCACAGTTCACTCAGGCACACGGAGAGCTCAGACACACAAACTGCTCTTGCGGTTTCATGGGACTCCCTCTGCGGCAGGGACTTCTAGAGGCTGGACGCACAGAACAGGAGGAGGAGTGAGGGGTGAGACCGAAAAGACCCACTCGAGCCCATAAATAGTAGAACAGGAGGAGGAGGAGTGAGGGGTGAGACCGAAAAGACCCACTCGAGCCCATAAATAGTAGAACAGGAGGAGGAGGAGTGAGGGGTGAGACCGAAAAGACCCACTCGAGCCCATAAATAGTAGACTTCAAAGGGTGTTCTTCGTTAGTGGTGACTAAAGGGTGTGTTGGTGCTGAATTTCTCAAACTTCTGGTAACAGACTGTTGCAAAAGCATCTTCATTTCATATTGAGATGTAAGGCATATTACATATACACGAGTGCACACGAAGAGTATGCGTTACGTGTTATTCTGTGGTTATTTATACTGGGGCTTCCTCAACTGACTTGAAGTTTTAACGTGAATTTCCCTTGATTGAGCTTGAATTGATTTCTGCTTTGGAGTGCTGAGATAGGAAGTGCACACTGACGCTGTGTATGAAATACAACTGCGGAGAACAGCAGCGGGGAGGTTTGGAGACCGCGGGACACTGCTTACCTCGTTGCTAAGTTAAGGGCACGGTAAAATATTTCTGTTTGTTGACAGTATTTACTCCGAAGTTTTTGGCAGAGTTGGCTTTTATTGTGGCATCTTTGTTGCCAGGTACTTTATTACCAAGGCTGCCCTCAGAGCCAGGCATGACGTTACTCACCATCAGAATTGAGAAAATTGGTCTGAAAGACGCCGGGCAATGCATCGATCCCTATATTACAGTCAGCGTGAAGGGTAATGAGTCCGTTCTCCCCCCTCTCTTACATTACTTCTACTTTGCAGCAGTTTCTTTGAGGGATGGTCTTGTATCTGTGACAACTAATTTTAATTCATTCTACAATGAGGCAAAATTCCTGCAAAAAATTATTGCTCCATCACTAAACATTTCTGAGACATTTACTGAAAATATTTTCCTTTTTATAACTTACACCCTTGCTTTTGAGATTGTCTTTGTATGTCTTTTATTCTTTTTAAATTTATTGTCATGGCCTTTTCTTTAGCGTGTAAGCTTTTATCAGTCCACGTCTGCAGTACCTGGCAGTTGCATTCACTGCGGGGGGGTCAGTCCATGGGCTTCAGCTCTTGGTGCAGGTTCCCACGTTCCCCACTCGCCGGGGGCCTGGTTTCCTTGGCAGAGCCCTGTGTGTTCTGCCTCCCGCCTCCCTGTCCCGGGAAGGCTTCTGACCCCGGTCCTGCCTGGGAGCACCAGGCCTTTGGAGCATCTTTAGTGGAGACAGGGAAGCAGCGTGGCCACAGCACCAGGCCTGTGGAGGGACGACCAAGCCACGCCCCTTGGCCATGGTGAGGAAGCAGGATTCTACTTGGGACTTGCTTCTCTCCTGTCCAGTGTAGTGCTCAGTTATTCCTTGGAAACATTCTCTGCAATCTTCAGGAAGAAAACTAGTGGTTAAATTACTTCGTTGTTGCTGAGCATATTATGAAGTACTTGGCTTGTACCTCACTGAAGTCTTTTAAAAAATAATTATTGGTTGGCAGGAGTATAATCCCAGCTGCTCAGGCAGCTGAGGCAGGGTGATCACCTGAGTCCAGGAGTTTGAGACTATAGGAAATACAATGAGACCTGGTACTAAAATTTAAAAAAATAATAATGGAGTGGCTAAGGATGAAGTTACTCCACTATCCAGAGGTAACTGCACAATACAAGCGAGTTACTTTAATCAATAGTTTAAGGCAAGTCAGAGAAACAGATCTGGGATGAAATTAAATGGAGAAACTTCTCAATCATAGAAATAACCCAAACCTATCGGAGAAAAAGGAATTCAGCCCCAGGAAAGCGTGACTGTAGAGCCCAGGCCCCACAGCACTGACGCTGCGATTCGAGCTTCGGCCTTGCCACTCAGCATAGATGGGGTCCACGGGAAAGTGCTTGGCTCTGCGTGCTTGGCTGGCCATTTGCAAAGCTTTTTACCCCCTTAAGAAATGCGCACTGTAACATACAGAAGCATTGAACGATTATGCAGTAGGTGTTAGGTTGCTTTTGCATATATGCTGAACTGGAACATGTCTTTAAGGACGGAAATAATCCAGTGTACTAAATTAAGTGCCCTAAGACAGTTCTGTTGAACATACATAAACTCTGAGCAGTCACTAAATGAGTCTATATTTTGATTAACTGGGATTCCTGGATCCTGGAAATGTAAACCACACACAGTAAGTTAGTGTCCATCTGGTTGTTCTAAATCAGTTATTGTAACTATAACTGGAACTTAGATGATGTGTATAACATTTTATTTATTGATGAAAGGTTCTTTTTTGGTACCGGGAATCAAAGTCAGGACCCTGGGCTCGCCAGGCAGGCACTGTGCCGCCGAGCTACATCTCAGGCCTGATGAAAGCTTCTGTTGATAGTTACCATGTCCATTTTTGGTTCTCAACTTAAATATAACAGGAAAATTCTGATAATGTTAGATTCAAAGCTCTTCCCCAGCCATGCCTGTGGTCAAAATTGGAACTTAGGGGCAGAGGCCACCTTTTGCAAATCACATGCATTGCAAGTTTTTATTGCACACAGAAACAGTAGTGTTTGTTCCATAAGGGAGTCTGCTCTTCCCTGTACAGAGCACAGTGTGTCTTCTGCCAGCTGTGCTCATCTGCCGGGCAGGGCCTCCCCTGCCTCCAGAAGGTCTCCTGCCCCGACCCGCACACTTTCCTCCATGCCAGCAGCCAGACGGGAGCCTGTGTTCACCAGGAGCCTGCGCCCAGCCTTCTGCAGGCCTTTGTGTGGTTTCTCTGCACTTTTCCGTGTGCACCTACATGTGCTCCTGAGCAGAAACTTGTCTCTCTAGATCTGAACGGCATAGATCTAACGCCTGTGCAGGACACCCCAGTGGCTTTGAGAAAGGAAGACACATATGTTCATTTTAACGTGGACATTGAGCTCCAGAGGCACGTGGAGAAGTTGAGCAAAGGTACGTGGCAGGGGCCGGGGCTCAGCTGGATGGGGTGCCCCAGCTTCGTCGTGGAGCAGCACACGTGCCTGGAGGCGCAGTGTCCTGTGGGCGTCAGAAGACAGTGGTGAGAAAGACAGTGATGAGAAACTCAGATCCGTGGGGGAATTAGGAATCATGATCAAGTTGTCTGATAGCCCTAGAACATAACGAAACATTCAGTGATGGTAAGATTTTATTGTCTTCTACAACAAAACGGGAAGTTTTCTCACACTGACAAGCAGGGAGGCAGGCACAGGTCCCCGAGGGCTGTTGCCATCCTGGCCTGAGGGAGTGGTTTCCCTCGTGGTTGGATGTACTGGGGAGGGCGATGCCATCCCTTGGAGTTCATTGGCAGGGAGCTGGGAGAGGACAACACACATTTTTGAAGCAGCCACGTTACATTTCCACATTACGCTGGTCACGAGAGTGTGTGCCATTGCCTGGACAGACTCGTATTTACATGGAAAAACCAGAACAAGGCCAATCGATGTGAATCCCAGCCTCAAAAATAATGAATTTCGAGGTTTCTGTTTGAGGGGAAAGAGAAGGAATTAAGCTTTTTGATGCTAAATAAGGGCACAGTGCCTTCTGAAGCAGTTTCTTTGGACTTTGCTGATCTGTGGTGTTTTCCTGTCACCCTCGTGTTTAGCATTTGTGTTCTTTGGTGACTGCACTTACATAAGTAAGTGACATTCTCGAGTCAGTCCGGCACAGACGTGTTGGCTGTCCTTGTAGGATGTGGTGGTGTGATGAGGAGAAAAGGCATCTGAACCGAGGGATTTGGGGGCCGCCAGAGGACCACATTTACCACAGGTTCCTTTGTAAGATTGTGCCTGTTCCTCTGCCTCCGTGGGTGATCAGTGAAAACTCTCCAATCCAGGAGAAAGTGCTGTCCGCAGTTGACAGGGCCTGTGCGTTTCCATCCCTCAGGTGCAGCTATCTTCTTTGAATTCAAACACTACAAGCCTAAGAAGAAGTTCACCAGCACCAAGTGCTTCGCTTTCATGGAGATGGACGAGATTAAACCTGGGCCGATTGTAATAGAACTGTAAGTGTGTGCGGGTGGCTTCGCACTGTTTTCATGTGTCTTCCCAGCCCCTCTCCCCTAGAGTGTAACCTTGGAGGAGATCAGTCATCCAGGTATTATAAACCGTGCTCTCTATTGTGGTTACAGCTACAAGAAACCCACTGACTTTAAAAGAAAAAAATTACAGTTATTGACCAAGAAACCACTTTATCTTCATCTGCATCAAACTTTGCACAAGGACTGATCCTGACCTGAGTAACCTGGAACTGCTGTGAATCTTACCAGCCAGTAGCAAGCACCATAGCTCTGTAAGGTCTTCACGTCCTCGGGCAGGGAGTGGGTTGTGCCCGGCCTAGCAGGCCAGCGAGCACCTGCGCTGTGGAGCTGAGTCCGGCATGTTGCAGAGCGGAAGACTCCTTTGGACCTAGGCTTATTATAGGTGTTGGAACACGCTCTTCCCCGTTAATTGTGCAATTACCAGTCTGTTTTCTAAGTCACCTCTGTCCTTCCCCGCTTTCTAGAACAGTGCTGTTGTCCAGGCATGCTCTTCTTCAAACTCCACGCAGCAGGAAGAACGCACTCGAGCGCGCACTGCTGCTGTCTTTCCCCGCATGCTCGTCGGGTTGGAGCTGGCCTCAGACTCGGGGCCAGCTGGGTGGGCTGCCAGCAGGCTGTGTGGAGAGCCCTGGGCCAGCTGTGCTGCCTGCTGCCCGTGGGGAAGGGACGGGCTGCCAGACTCGCCCGGTCGGGTGGTCCTGTGGAGAACAGTGTGCCTTGCCCGGATCGGTGTCCCCAGGTGGGACAGTGTCCCCAAGTGGTGGCTGCAGTTTTTTTCCCAGATAACCAGATTATTTTTCTGAAAGTGAGCATATTCTAGTCATGTTGATTAGCTGTTCTATGTCACATTGTTATTTTTTTCTGATGATTTTAGAGTTAACATTGGAAGCACCTCAGAATAAACACACATTTTTAGATGGGTTTACAGTGTCTTCTAAGTCATGTCATCTAAAATAACTGAGTCCAATACTAATGAGATACCGCAGGAATAACTGCTGCACACCTTTTCTTAGTGATGAGTATGCAAAATCAGCAGACTGTTTTCTTTAATACAGGTAGCTAGGATTGCCATGTATTTCCTATTTAGGGATACTGGTATTCATCCATATGAAAATGTGCAGGTCATAGCTTATTACAATTTTGACCATTTACCTTTTGACCTTGTAAGAGGTCTAAATTAACTTCCATAGCACACATGAGGTAACATTTGACACACACACATTAAGATTTGCGGTGGGCTTTCTATAGGTTAGATGTGGAGCCCACACACTTCAGTATCCACTGTTTCAAACCCGCAGTGCAGGACAGAGCACTGCCGGCTCTTCCTGCTTACTTGAAGCCCATTAGGCCATCAGTGGCTTTGCTCCTGACAGCAGGTCGCCCTCACACGCATCAGGGGCCCTGCTCCGCTTCCCAGGTCCTGAGGCCGCTCCGCTCCCTAGGTGACTGTTAGCCCAAACCGTGAGCCGAAGGAATTCTCAGCCGAATTCAGTCTTGCCTTTCCATCTTATTGGATAAATTCCAAATACTAAAGTGATTCAGTCCACAGTAGCTCTAGGGAATGAAGAATTTGCCTTAATAAATTGCTTTTTTCCACTCAGTTCCTAAACTCTCCAGTTGTCTGATTCCCCAGGCTGTGAGCTGCTGGGGCGGGGGGCGAGAACCTGTCCTCTCCGTGTCGGGCACCCTTTTAGGGGCTGGGCAGCACTCTGTGCCCTGTGGAGTCCTCAGAAGCTTTCATTTCATGTTGCTGAGACCTGAACACATAACCCTTGAACCCTACTATTAAAAGCAGCAGAATGGGTGTGGTGTCCTTCATCGACGCAGGCGCGTGCCAGTGGTCTGCGTGCAGGGCCGTGCCTGCGTCAGGGTTGAGGCTGGGCGGGGACAGTGTGGTGAGCTGAGCTCAGGCCGGAACAGAGTGGCAGAAGGTGACCGTGTCTCGAGGCAGCAAGCACAGAAGGCCCCACACACCGCAGGTCACTGGGGTTCACTTTGCGGTGAGGACAGCCACCCGTGGACGGCAGTGCCCATGGACCACAGCCCCTGGGGACAGAAGCCTCGGCCGTGTCAGAGGTGCTGCTTCCTCAGTGAGGCAGTGCAGGAGGGAAACCCAGAGGCAGCGGGGGAGCTGACCTCCCCTCGGGGGCTCCCCAAGATGGGATGCTGGGTGTCCCTGAGGGATGGGCTGCTGTGCCCTGCTGTACCCTGGCTGGCAGCCTGCCTGGGGCATCCTTGGCCACAGGAGAGGGGGGCAGGCAGCGAAGGGAGAGGCAGTCACAGGCCGGCTCAGACTGCTTGGACGCGCTTGGGATGTGCACAGCTGGCTGGCGCTGGGCTATGGATGGAGAAGCTCCAGCAGAGCTTTAAACAGGAAAGTACTTGTGAATAAAAATATGGATCACCTTGCCTGCTTCCTAGTTGCACGCTTTTTTTACATGCTACATAAAAGTAGAAGTCATGTTGACTTTATGTGTCCTGAGGTTGACAGGTAACATTCCGAGGTTGTATCTGTGATTCTGTCTTACTGTACAGGTCAAAAACAGCAGATGGTATTGGCGGAGGTCCGCTATCCCCTCTTCCTGACGTGAACTAGATGAGGCTATGCAGATGGAATTCCTTTCCTGAAAGGCTCTCACATTGCTTTCGAGCCGAGTGACTTGCCTCATCTTTGCGAGCATTGTCTTGGGAGTGTGAGTGTGAGCGGGTGAGGCAGCGTGTGGGCCTGGTGTGAGGCGGAGGCCCACCTCACAGACGATGAGCGCTGTGCAGCATCGCTCGGCTGTGACAGGCCCGGCTCTGGGCTTCACGAGGTCGTCTCAAAAGGACAGAGTACACGAAGGCCGAGTAAGCCTTGACACTTGCAACTTAATCTAGACGCTCCACCTCTTCAAGGGTGCTGCTGAGTTAGGGGTCTCAGGATATCTGCAGACTAAGTGTGGCCTTGCAGCTCCTAGACTTAAGGAGTCGGAAGCGAAGGCACCCATGCTCAGATGCTAACCTCAGCGTAGCACCTGTCAGAGTAGGAAGGAGTTCAGCCCACAGCTGCACAGTGCTGACCAAAAGCAAGGTAGAAGCCTCCCACCCCTCAATCACTTTTTCTCGTGGTGTATTATATTCTTGTTTTGGTTCCTTCCTTCCAAGTCAGTTGTAGGATGTGAGAAAGAGAACCAACTGCGTTTTTATGAAGAAACTTGCCTTTAGAGTCAAGACACACCATTTTTCTTATGCTCCCCCTTCCAATGTAATCATGGTTAAAGGGGGGGACTGAGACCCCACAACTGTCGTTTCTGCTGTAAACTCGCGCTTGCTCAGGGAGAGACAGGCAGGAGCCCTGAACCGACCGGAGGCGGACCGCAGTCACTGGACAGGTCACAGGGCTTCACCCAGTGACGGAGCCTGCAGCCCTGTCACCGAGGCCTAGGCCAGAGTTACAACAGGTCTCACCAGCAATGAACCAACAGAGGCTTGGGAATATTAACAAACAAGTTTTTATTAGCTATTACTACAAAGGGCATCAGCGAGAGGGGAGATAAAGTTTATGATCTTTGAGTAAACATCTTTACGTAACAGTCTTTTCGACCAGTATGGGGAGGGGCGGGGCGGGGCGGGGCCAAGCGTATAAACACCATTGCTCTGTATTCAGTTGGTACACCAAAAATACAATAATGGAAACACGTGTTCTTAAAGCATTTCCACAGGAAATGGTCATTTTTATGACATTCTGAATCATTTTGCAATTATATATGCTACATTAACTAAAACACAGGTATCGTTATTGCACATTTCAAAGTTGGAAGGACACTCAAGCTTAAGAGGCGATTTTTAGAGGGGAAGATGACTTTTGAATTGTTTGGCTCAAAAATGCACACTGCCCAAGGCAGCTGAGTACTAAAAACCTGTGAAAATAAACTTCCGGATTTCAAAGCCAGTGGAAGCCTCTGCCATCTGAATAGTGCAGTCCAGTCCCCTCGGCGCGGAGGTCACTCACGGGCTCTGCCTCAGAGCCTGCGAAGAGTCCCGGCCGGCAGCGGGCTGGTCCCTGGGGCCCGAGAGCAGGGAGTCTCCCTCGGGAAGCCGCGGCGCGTAGTCCTGGGGGCCGGCGGGCGGCGGCGGCGGCAATCGAGGGCCGGGAATAAAGTACTCCCGGGGGCCGGGCGGGCCCGGAGGTCGGAATGGCGCGGGTCCAGGCACGAACTCGCGGGCGTGCGGAGGCAGGTCTCGGCGTGCAGGCGGGACGCCCGGGGCGAACTCCCTCAGGCCCAGCGGCGGGCACAGGTAAGGCACTGGAAAGGGAGAGCGACACTGCAGCCTTCCCGCACAGAGGCCAAGTCCGCCGAGGGAGACGGAGTCCCCCGAGCGGGGAGGCGGAGCGGCGCGCCTGGCGTCCCAGGCAGGGGCCAGGCTCAGCGGGGGTAGGCTCTTCCCCGCGCAGCCGGGTGGCCCTGTCCCGCGGGAGCGCGGCCGCCACCCCACGTTCCGGGACCTGCTGCCTGTTGCTGTCAGTCACAGGCTGACGCAGCCATGGGCACAGCCCGTCACGGGCCACCAGGGTCAGCGTCCTGCCCTACTGGACACCGCCTGCTCCTCCACTGGCGAGTCTCAGCCGCACTCCGTGGGGTCACTGGGGGACCCTCCCCTCCCACGGCCCCCGATCTCAGGCCGAGTCAGGGGGTCCGGCTGCGGGACCCCTCCGCCCGCTGCCGCACCTGTGCGACTGGGCCTTCCGGCCTTCTGGGGAGAGCCCTTCCCGCCTCGGGGGTCAGCTACCCCCGGCTCCGTGCTGAGAAGCCGGGGCTAGCCCCCATGCTGCCACACGCAGGAAGAGCGACTTCGCGGGGCATGGGGGGACAGGCTCACGGACACCCATCAAAAGCAACTGTCCTGGGGCGACAGCCGAGGACACAGCGACCTACCGAACGGTGGAGGTGGAGGCGGCATCGGCCGAGGCCCGAAGGGCCCACAGAGCTGGGGTGGCGGCGGTCCGTACCCCATAGGTGGCGGCATCGGGCCTCCCATGAATGGTGGCCCTGGGAACGCAGGGGGCCCCTTCGCGGCCACGTTCACCTGCGAACAGAGTGGTGACGGTTCTGAACTTGGAGACCACACAGCGCCGACACCGGCGAGCGCTCAGCCCGGAGACAGCGGGCACCTGTCCAGCCGCGTCAGCGCGGTCCCCCGCCCCCAGACCTTAGAAGGGTGCCACGCAGCGCGCCCTGCCACCAAGCTGCCCCCGCGTGTGCAGAGGTGAGCGCTGGAGAAGTCGAGCCACACGCGGGGGCACGCTACTCGTGTCGGTCCCCCACACGACAGTGCAAGGCAGGGCGACCCGGGCTCCCGAGCACGTGCTCCTGGAGTGCTGTGCTTGCACGTGGGGCCCTGCACGCCAGTGTCTCCCGCTCAGGAGACGAGGCCCGCACCGGGAGCCTCCGTGCCCACCACCGCACGGTGAGACGCCGGCTCATCACGCCTGTGGACCCAGGCCGGACGGCAAGCAAGGCCAGCAAGTTGTGGCCTGCACAGGGCAGCACGTGCAGTGAAAAGGCTGCCAGCTGTGGCAGCAACGGGCCTTGAGAACGCGCTTCCGCAGGCAGAGCTTGCAGACACGGCCACTGCCCAGGGCTGGTTTCAGTGAACAAACAGCTCCTTTCGAGCCAAGCTGACAGCCATCTTGTTTCCAATCACTACCACAGGGTCTGCCTGGCCCAGCGCGAGAGGAGTCTCACACAGCACACTTGCCAACAGAGACAAGAAGCCAGGCGTGGTGGTGCAGGATTATAATCCCAGCACTTGGGAGGCTGAGGCAGGAGGATCGTTGTGAGTTCGAGACCAGCCTGGGGCTACAAAGTGAGCTCAAGACCAGCCTGAACTGCAGAGTGAGACCCTGTCTCAAAAAAAGATTTAAAAAAAAAAAAAAAGCAAGCCAGGCACGGTGCACACACGTGTAATCCCAGCACTCAGGAGGCTGAGGCAGGAGGATTGCTATGAATTGGAGGACAGCTTGGGGCACACTGTGAGTTCAAGGCCAGCTTAAGCAACACAGGGAGACCCTGTCTCAAAAAAAGAACAAGCTACCCAGCTACAATGACTGGCTTTGCCTCAGCACTCGGCACACGCTCCGAGGCTGCGGCAATGACAGTCACTCTCTAGGTCTGCACACGGTGCTTGGAGTTGGACTTACACAGCCCAGGGCAGTGGGGTCACTGCTGCCATGCGACCTAAGCAGCGAGTCAGAGCCACCCAGGGCCTGCACCTGGCCCAGGCCTCGTCCTGCAGGGACCGCACTTACTGCCGCTGGACCCTCAGCCCCAGACGTCATGCTGGCAATGGAGAGCCCTTGGGGTGCGCAGGGAGCAGCTGGCTTTTTGAGAGAACAAAGGGGATATGCAGACAGAACACAGGGAGGAGGGAGAACACAGCGGGGACAGCCAGCCGTGGGCCCCCGAGACGTGGCCAGGGGCCTGCAGGCTTACCTTGCCCTCGTCCATGCCCTTCGCCGGGGAAGAGCCTCGCGAACCGCTGTTCCCCGCGGGTCCGGGACCGGGGCCAGGGCCTGGATCTAGGAGGGGCCAGAGAATGCACTCAGACTACACGGGGTCACGTGCGCTTCCCCCTCGGAAGCGAGCTGGTCCCCGGCAGCGGCAGAGGGCTTCCCGGGGCCTAGGCAGACATGCGAGCACACACTGCCTGGCCCTTGAGAAAGCAGTAACAGAGCCCCGGCTGTGCTTCTGAGAACCGAACCGACGCACCCAGGTGAAAGGTCAGCTCCTAACGAGAACGTGCCCTGAGACGCGCGTCTTGGGACCCACAGGAGTCCTGACACTGGCAGAGTACTGAAACTCCGAAACAGGAGCTGCCTTGGAGCGAAAGGACAGCACTAAACCCTGCATGATATAAACAGCACTGGTGGGGGCTCCATGACGCGGGCACAATAGCCTTCTACAGACCGGCCCTTCCCACCTGCGTGTAATCTGGCTTCCACTCAACTCTTACAGACACTGAGAATCAGAAGGAGACGCTGTGGATCATGATGATGAGAAATGGCAGCACGTACACTGCATAAAGTGGAGGTTTAAGGCTACTTTTGTAATAGGCAGAGGGACACCACCGACACAAGATAAAGGCACAGCTCTTAACAGCTGTATCTTGGAAGCGATCCATGCCCGTCTGCAGATGAATGGAAAAAGAAAGTGTGTTACGCACAGTGGAGCACTCTGCCCTGAAGGGCACACTGACGTCACTTGTAGGGAGATGGACACAACTTGAGACCGTAACGCTAGGTGAATGAGCCAAGCACATGGTCTCTCTTGTATGAGCAAATGCGACAGGAAGCAGGGAGGCAGACTCCGGAGATGGGAGGGGTGGGGGATGGGAGGCAGGGGGACAGGGAAGGAACAATGCTTAGGACGCGCCAGGTACACGCGCCAGCTCCCAGGATGAATGCAGTTACCAGGGACCACGAACACGTGCTCCTAAAAAGATAAACACTTACACTTCTCAGTATACAATGAAAACAAAGAACCAAGAATGCTTTCGGTGCTACAGCAGAGCTTGAAGTATCCACTGAGACGGCCTCAGAGACGTTCCCTCTGTGCTAGACAGACCCGATTCTACCACGTGCGCTCTTTAGAACACTCCAAAGGGAACAGCCCACTCAAAGCAGCTCACCGAATTCACTTCTTGGCATGTCTCTTCGTGTGAAGGTCGCAGACAGTGGCCGGCCCAGGGGCTCTGCGTTCAGAGGCGGGGAGCACTCACCGCCACTCACGGGGGACGGCCCAAAAGAGCCGTTCTGGCTCAGGGGACCTGCGACAACATGCTCGTTACCACCTTTCGGCAGCCTCTGTTTCTTGAGTAAGCTGCTGGCACCCGGACCCCCCATTCAGAAGCAAAAAGCAGCCGAAGTGTGCTGTCACCCAAGGCACAGCCTACCTCTCCGGGGAGCGTTCTGTGCCACCGGTCTTCCTGGCATCGGTTTCACAATCACAGGTTCATCCTGCCGCATGGCCATCTTCTGGGTCATTTCCACTAATCTGGATGGAGAGAGCACAGGCTCCAGCGTGAGCGGTGCCGCCCCGCGAAGCCGCCCACCCCAAGTCACAGCCACGCACCTGTGCCGCAGGGTGGCGGCCTCTCTCTTCTCCTCAGCGATCAGCCTTTCTGCGTTGCGAGCTTTGAGCTGTGGAGACAGTGTCGAGTTCAGCGCAGCCTTGGAGAGAGAGGGGACAGGGAGAAGGAAGAGCAAGAACCTTACCCAGTTCTCGTGAGCTTTCTTCTCGTGGGTCGCCAGCTGGAAGAGACAGCACAGGCAAAGACACATTCAGGCTGGTGCTTGTGGCCGCAGGAAGTGTCAGAGCGCCTGCGGGGCCACACAGTGCGGTGACTACGGGGCGGGCCATTCTTACCTGGCTTTTGAATGAGCGCTCTGTCTTCCGTAGTTCTTCCTTCATTTCTTCAATTCTCTGCCTAAAAATTATACTGCTCAGTTAAAAGCAGCCAAACAAAATCTGAAACAATCTATGCTCCCTCTACTCTAACCCTTTACCTCTGAAGACTGCCCCACGTGTACAAAAACGTTTTATAGTCACAAGGACAATGTGAACAAAACTAGTACTTCCTAATTCCCTTCCTTCCCACTTAACGGCTACAGGTTGTGAGTTGCTAACTTATGAATTTCCTTAACTATCTTACAATGATGTTCTCAAATAATCTCGCTGGGGCTATCTTCCCACAAAGGTGATTCTTTAACCCAGAATTCTGCCTCCTGGGCCTGTCGGCGGCCCAGTGACTCTCGCGGGTCTCAGCGTGTGAGGGGAGCAGGCCGCTGTCCCGAAGAGCGACACGAGGGACGCAGCCCTGGTGTGCGGGGCCAGGCCCCTGCACTTCTGCCAGCATCGGCCTCGGAGCTGTTAAGTTTTCATTTAACATGAAGCTCCTCTCCCGCGTGAATGAAACGCGTTCGTGTCCTCCGACTATTCACTTATGCTTCTGCGTCAGCCTTCCACCTGGCGGGAACGGTTTCTCAAAGCCACTCAGCCCAGCTCCCCTGGCCGTGGACACCACACTCACTTGTACACTTTGACTTCCTCCGCAGCCAGCACCACCTTCTCATCAGCAGCCGACAGCCGCTGGTCTCGAGCCTGCAGCTCATATTCTTCCTGACTCAGTTTCCTAGGACAAAGGCAGCTGCCAAGGGGGAGCTCTGCCCACATGCCACGCCCCCACCAAGCGGCCGGGCACAGAGGCCCAGGAGGGATCCAAGCTGCCGCTCCTGGCCCATCACTGGTACCCTCTAACCTCCCCTCGTAATTCTCTTGTCACCAGCAGACAGAACACGCTGCAAGAGCACGGCGTACGCCAGGAGCGACACGCATGCGTGCGAGACGAGGCTGCACAGTGGACAGCCGGACTGAGCCAGCAGAGGGAAGGGCCCGGCTGCAGCGTGGGCGAGGCCCGCGCCTCCTGCTCCTGCCGCTTTCCCTGTTGTCACAGCAGAGCCGTTTCTCAGCTGAAACCGAAGCCACGACAAGCACACGGGCGAGGCGTCACGTGCGGACGGGGCCTGTGCCGAGACCCAGCCCGAGAGGGACCTGCGGGTCCCAGTGAGGCCAGCGTGCCCTGGCTTCACTCACATGCTAAGACACTGCCGAGAAGCAGGGAGGCTGAACTGGGCCTCAGCAAATCCCCGCTTCGAGAAAGGACGACTGGAGATGAGCTACAGAGGAGGGGACACTGGGGAGGGCTGCGACGTCACCGGAGGCCGACAGCGCTGCGCCGAGCCCTGGGCAGGCACACTGTCCTCAAGGGCCTGAGCCCTTCCTGAACTGTGAGCCAGAGGACAGTGACGGGGGAAGGGGGCAGGCACAGGCAGCCTCAGATCGCCTCTACAGGAGGCTGGCAGCACCCTAGGCCTCCAGTTTCCTCTATAATCACCACGTATCACATCTGCCAGGCAGTCGGAGCTGACCAGGACCCCACAGCACCAAACCCGGCAAAACCTCTCAGACAAGGGAACCATGTAATGAATCACCCCACAGATCCAACAAGAACTGTGCCTTGGGGCTGGGGACTTAGCTGAGCGGCACAGCACCTGCCTGGCAAGCACAAGGTCGGGAGTTCGATTTCTGGTATCGGAAAAAAGAAACCAAAAAAAAAAAGAACTGTGCCTTGTAGATGAGAAAGTAAAACTCAGTATGCGTTTCAGATCAAAAACTATAAACTAAGAAATAGCACGGCGCGCTGGTGCGCCTGTGGGCCTAGCTACTAGGGAGGCTGAGGCAGGAGAAGACTGAGTCCAGGAGTTCAATAATAGCCTGGGCAATACAGATAGACCCTGTATCTCACAAGAAAACCAAGGGGTACGGGTGCAGCACAGTGCTAATGCACATGCCCGAGGGCCTAGGCTTGGCCCCGCACTGAGAACCAGAAATACACCAACTGAAGTAGGAGCTCAGAGACTGATCCTGGTAGCCGGTCTGCAAGTGAGCGGGTCGCACACTGTGTGACAGAGCAGAGGGAAACACACAGAACGGAGGGGAGGGAAGCGGAGAAGCACTGGTCAGAAAGGCTGACATGGCTGGACATGGTGGCTCACGCCTGTAACCCAGCACTCGGGAGGCTGAGGCAGGAGGATCGTTGTGAGTTCGAGGCCAGCCTGGGGTACAAAGTGAGCTCAAGGACAGCCTGAACTACATAGTGAGACCCTGTCTCAGACAAAGAACAAGAACAGAAAGACTGACGCAGTTAAGTGGAACAGGAGACGAGAGGAGGTGACAGAACTACATGACAGAGCCTGAAAGAAACTTTCACACCAGACGCTAATCTGTCATCCTCAGACACTGAGATAAAGGACCACCGTAATTCTATAACCAGTTTAAAGAGCCTTCAAAACTGGGCTGGAAGGAAATGAAGACACTTCCATGCAAAGGTCAACAATCAAATTTATCATCCAGAAGAATAGTGAAAGTAACTATTTTTGCTCTTTGCTTTTTTCAGACAGTCTTGGTATTTAGTCCTTGCCGGCCTCAAATGCAAAGCAATCCTCCTGCCTCAGCCTCCCAAGTGCTGGGATTACAGGTGTGCCTAATGTCTGCTTTAGAATAACGAAATTCCAAAGGGAAGACCTTCTGGTGTAGAATGAACAATGACAAGGACAGTGAATATGCACGTAATGTGAACATACATTGGTGGGGACCACCGTAAACGGCAATAAAATGTCCCCTGCTGTCAGTGGCGCAGAGCATCAGCACCCCACGCAGTGTGGCCGGGAGGAGGCGGTTATGCCCCATGAGTGCGGACCAGGGATGCTGGCCGACCTTCGGTGAGTCCGGGAGCATGCTGCGGTCCTCAAGGTAACTGTAAAAAACTGAGTAAAGCAAGCTATGGCATGCCAAGTTCACACAAGCACAGAATTGAAAAAGCTCCAACAATGCGAAAGAGACAAAGAGGACAGCAAAGAGCCCTGAGCAGGGCCTCCGGGGCAAACCCGCTAGCCCACAGCACGAGGGCAGGCCGTGTTTCAGCAGCGCCCTCGGGGCTGCCATGAGGAGCTCCATCAGGCTTAGGACCAAGGTGTGTGAGCAAGAAAGGAATGGAAAGAGGCGAGTGGCAACAGGGTGTGCAGGCCGGACCGCACACTGCGGCTGGGGAGAGACTAGGGACAAGCTGGCGAGCGCGTGGGTGGCCCTGGGGCCCCAGTGAGGAGGAGTAGCACTGAGAGGGCGGGGAAGGCACACTAAGCTGCCTCTCTGAGAGCCAGTCAGGAACACGCGGGCCTTCACCAGCTACAGAGCTGGGCGCAAGGAGGGGAGCTGACACTCGTGGGCCGCACCGAGGCCCTGCCCCTGACAGGAACCGCTGGTACCCAAAGCCACGCCCTGCTCTGCACAGCAGGGGACCGGGTGCTGTCAGCTGGTCAGGTGACAGAAGAAGCCACACAGGAAGATGGCACTGCCCCACTGCGCGCAGACGAAGGGAGGCGACGGTGACCTGCAGCACTAACAGCGCCACCTGCGCTGGCAAGGACCCTCGGGTGCAGCTTACTTCTGCAGCGCCATCTCCTTCTGCTGGTACAGCTCGTTCAGAATCTCCACCTTCTGCTGCAGCGTCCCGCACTCCTCCTCCAGCCCGGCCTTGGTGGCCTCTAGTGCACTGCAGTCCTCGCCCAGCTTCTTCATCTCGTCTGGGAGGGGGAAGGGCGTCGCAAGGGTGCGGCATATGGAACCGCTGCCCGGTGCCCTCCGGCCGGCGTCAGCCCGCCCACCTTGCCCACGCCAGGAACCCACCTTCCAGGTCGCACTTGGCGGACATCACCGCCCGCAGCTTCCCCTGTAGGAGTCTGAGGTCCTCCTGAAGCACTGAAATCGAGGTCTGTGTCTGAAAGTTGAGGGCGGGGGCGTGTCCTTGAGAGCGAGGCCCAGTCAGGACTCAGACACTGGGGCAACGCTACGGACGGCCCTTACCCGAGAGACGTCCATCATCTGCCTGATCTGACTCTTCATCTCACTCTGGTCACCTACAAAACGAAGCAGCTTTATTTGCTTTCCCTTCCCTTCTTTGTTTAACTCTATTGTCCTCACAGCCTCAAAACTAGACTAATGCTCGTCTAACACTAAAAGGAAAAACGAATTCTCCAACAGAACTGATTGCGCTGACTTTTAAGACAACTGCACACTGTGATTCAAGAAACAAGTCCCTGCCAAGACAGCGCGTTACCTGCTGCTGAGCGAGCCTAGCTCCGCGGAGGGATGGATCAGGGACAGCCAGCGGGTGCAGTTTGAGACTCGCACCCTGGGTGCCGTCTCCTGCTCACTTTCCTCCCTGAGGACTCTGCTGCCCTCCAGCCTCCGCTCTCACAGCCTGGGCTCAGCTCCACCCATCACCGCACTGGAAGCGGCTTCTCCTACGGCACAGCGGCCAACGCTGAGGCACAATCCAGGGTCCTCATCCAGTTCTCAAGGGGTGGAAAAACGGTGTTCTCTGCGTGCCTGCTGCCATCTGCACCCCAGTGACCCAGACAAATTATTAAGGAAGTCAACGGGAAGCAGCATCCACGCAGGCAATTAGGGACAAGAATGCTCAGGTGGCTGGGGCAGGAGGACTGCCGTGGGCTCGAGGCCAGCGTGGGCTGTACAGTAAGTTCAAAGCCAGCCTGCACTACATAGAGACCCTTAAACACTAAAGACAAGAAGACAAAAAAAGGGGCCCATCACCCAGGCTGGTCTTACCTCCCACTTCTCCGTTGGCTAATTCATCTGGCTCCTTTCCGCCTGGGCTTGTACCCTCGGATTCAGATCCGTGCTCTAACTGATTCAACTGTGTGATGCAACTGGACAAAGCCTGGAAAAGAAGCGAGAGGTGGTTAACAGCCTCTCATCCTAACAGCAGGTCTCAGAACTCACCCAACAGGCGTGGGCCGGCCGGGTTACACTTACCCCAATACTATCGTCCTTGTGTGCGAGCGCAGCTTCCACACGCCTCTGAGACTTCTGGAAGGCTTTGAGCTGCTCGCTGAGCTCAGCATTCGACTTCTTCCAGTCTTCAATTTCCTGCTCCAGCTGAAAGTCAGACACACAGATCGCTGTGGGCTGGGGGCTCCACAGAGGCACCAGGAAGCCACGTCCCTCCTTGCCCTGTCGTAGAGGCTAAGGACTTGGTTCAAGAAAAGGGAGGTGGCCCCCGCCGAGCTGTCAAGGGAGCTGACCCACGCCTTGAGTCCTTCTGAAAACGTGCTGATTTGAATGCTTGATCTCCACTTGGTGCGCACGGCCGCATCTCGCTGGGGCTTAACACATTCCTGCCTGCTTAAACTGCTGCTGGTATACGGAGGACTGTCCTTACTGCCCGATGGGACTGTCCATCCCACCCGACGGGACTGTCCTGCATGTACCACCCAGGGGGAACGTAACCCATTCAAATGAGAGCTGCCTGGCAGGGAGACACAGGATTTCTGGCTGGGAATGTGTTGAACCCAGATCCCTGATCTTCTAACCTTCCCACGGCCAGGGAGGCAGTAACTGCTCCAAGAAGGCTTACCAAAGCCTTAAATCCAAGGTTTAAAAAGCCAATCCCTGGCCTTGAGGAGGCGGCTCAAAGTAACGACTCGTGTCTGACAAGACAAAGCCAGGAGGTGCCATCTATGTACAGAACCAAAATACAGGCGCGATGGAGAGCGCAGGCAGGCCACGTCCGGCAGGGCTCTCTGTGTCTCCCCCGTCAGAGCAGCTCTGAGAAAGGACGATTGCGCTGAAGACGCCGGGTGGTCCAGAGTGCACGCCCTCTGACCGGATGTTTACCTGCACTTTCTTCCTCTTCAGCTTCGTGTTTTCTTCTTGAACCCGGTGGCACTCGGACTTCACCTTCTCTTCACTAAGCTTGGCTTCATTCAGGGCAACCTGAACCTAAGGCAGAACACTCCTGTCCACGAGCCGCCCGGGGAGGGGCGCTCCCTAGAAGGCGCAGCCTTCCCGTTGCACGGCTCAGCGCTGTCCCCCCTCTGCTCCTGCACGAAGCCGCGACACAGCACTGACACCCGGCAGGGCACCTGGGCAGCCTTACCTCCGAAAACTCCGAGGCATTCACTGAAATAACATCCTTTAACTTCTCCATAGATTTCTCGTTTTCTAGAATCTGCCACGGGAACAAAGAACACACAGTATGGATTAGGATTTGGGGAGAAACACTAAAACATAGGCTAAAAAAGACAAAATATTTCCAAAATGTACCCCAAATCATCCACTAGATTTTAGGTAAAATCAGGGGATCCCATTTGGGAAAAATATCAAGAACTTAAAGAGCTGAGCAAAAGAACTGAAGTCAAGCATTTCACCACACCCACAACCTTCGTGGTGACCACACTTTAAACATGTTCTTTGCCTGAGTTAAAAATGACACAGTGCCGGTGTGGTGGCACACATCTATAATCCCAGCACTCGGGAGGCTGAGGCAAGAGAGTTCAAGCCCAGACTGGGCTATGAAGTGAGTTCAAGGCCAGGCTGAACTGAGTAGCAAAACCTTGTCTCAAAAAGATAGTTTCAGGTGATGGACAAATCTTGCGAGAACTTCACAGTACTTATGACAATACTGGCTCCTCCAGGGGTGACCCCAACCCTCTGCTCTTAACTGCAGGTTGTATCTCGTAACTTCCTTCCGAAGAGTGCAGCGTACATGGGACTGCAACAAGGCAACTGACCAGTTTTGTGCTCAGCCAGGGATCAAGCCTAACAAGGGGCAGGACGTATGAGAACGCTCCTTACTATGTTTACCACTTTTATGTAATTCTAAAACTGTTCTAAAGGCAGAGTTTGCTGAGAAAAAGAACTTTGTAAAATGAAACCACTGTACATAGACTGTTCAACCGGACCATAATTTCTTAGTGGTTCTGTGTGTTTTAGAGGACACGGCCAACAATATGAAATTATCCAGGGGAGAGGATCAAAACACCCCAGGCCTATAAAATATCCTACTGGATTAGTACTGAAAAGCCCACAAACTGGGCACAAGCATGTTCAATTCTGTTATTCCTAATCTTAGTTAACAGCATGAGAACAGTTCAACTAATTTATAAAATAGTTCAAAAATCAATTCTAGTAACACTCAGCAGCAGAACTCACCAAGTCCTGATTTTTCACATTTTGTTCCCTCTCAGATTCTAACAGAACACGAAGACTTTCAGCTGTGTCACTCAGAATTTCATTATTTTCTTCAAGTATCTTGATTTTATCCTACAAGAAAAGATATTAAGAGCAGCAATACTCATTACACTTGCTTTTGTTTTTAGAATATAATCTCAAAAGAAGAAGGACTTTTACCTTGTATCGAATTGCTTCATCAGAGAGAACTTTATTTTGCTTCTTGGTTTCTTGAACAAGCTTCTTTGATTCCTTGACCTGTGTGAAACAGACAATTCAGAACTAAGAACGTAAACCACAGTGCTACGATAAATCAACTACTATAAAACGAAGTTCCGAGGAGAGAGCCCTCACAGAAGAAAGCCGTACTTTATAATACACGTGACGATGCTGTAGATCTGGAGGGCTCGGAGGAAATAATGAAGCAAGAAAATACAACTTCAAAACACCGTAAGAGCTGAGCTGTACCACAGACAGGAATAAGTCAAGCTGGAAGGAGGAGGGGTACGAAACAGTAATGATACCTTTTGCTCATAATCTGACACTTTTTGTACAAGTTCTGCATTTTCCTTTGTGGTACTCTTCACCTTTTCCAAAATCTGCTCTTCAGTGACTAAAAAGAGGAAAAAGCCAGAAGATCATCACGAGCACTAAGTGAAACTGAGCCGCTCAGTGCACGAGCAGACAGACGCGCTCTGAGGTGCTGTGAGGCTCGGATCTCAGCACAACTTCACGCCGCACGAAAAGCTCCGAAGCTAACAGCACCAGTGTATAAGAACATTAAGATCTGAGAAAAATGTAGTAACACCTGTTTCAATGAGATCACCATTTTATTTAAAAGCTAGGAAACAGAGAAAATGTTATACAGCTTGACAGTCCTTCCTTCACAAAACATGCTTCTCAGAAAATGGAATCACCTCAAATGTTCGTCACTTGCAAAGGGAACAGCACACGCAGGCATGCTGGTCTGCACTGCTGCCTCCCGAGCTCCCTGCCCAGACACTGTCCACGGGGCCGAGGCATCAGCAGCACAGGCACACTGTCCCCCGCCACACCGTGCTTTCCAACAGCGCTCGGTCTGCTCCGAGGTGAGCGAGCCCCCTCTCCACCCCCACTCTATCTCAGCTGGTGCACCACCACCCTCTCTACACGAGGCAGCAACCCAGCAACAGTACCACCTGAGGCAGGTAATAAGTCAATCGATACCAAAAGTTACTGTCTCTCCTTTTCGCCCACCTAAAACTCCTGCCGAAGAACAAAAGGGAGAGATGGTTCACGTAACAAAATAAGCCTGAAAATTTACCTTGGTACATTCTCTCCTTCACCTAGAAGAGAAAGAGAGAGAATTAAACCTGATGTCAAACATGGGACTAACAGAAATACATAGTTCCTAACACAATAGTTAGGATCATAACCAAATGAAAACTGAATAACTCTTTGGTTCAGGATAAACCCATACGATTAAAAAATAAGGAAAGGTTAAAAAGAATTTCGCATTGGTAGTGATACAGTACAATGAGGCTCTGATACAGAGGAACATTAAGGTGGGGGTCTTACTTCACAGCCACACGTTCGCTCATCTGCCGCTATCAAGTGAGCACCAAGCTTGAGATGAGCATTCACCTTTAATAACAAAATGCTTGTTTTTATAATATGCACACTAACGATTTATTTACTCGGAATTACTTACTTGTCAACTCCAAACAGCAAGCACACAGTCTAGAAACAATACACAGATGGCCAAGGAAGCAGGATTATTAGCGTAACCTCTGCACTAAGATACGCCTTTTTCACTTGCTGGAAGACACCTTAGAAATCCTATTCCAAGTGGTCTATTGCCTCAATTTAGAAATAATCTAATAAACTTCATCATCTGATTTCCCTAGACAGCAAAAATAGTGTAACTGAACAGAAGGGAAGACACCAGAGGAACGCAGAGGAATGACAGCTAATGACTTCAGGAAGGGCAAAGACTGAGTTCCTCCCTGCAAGGACGTCTGGGGTAATAAAACCTAAACTGTAACTAATTAAATACTGCAGCAGTGTATTACTAAATTCTGTAACGCAGACTGTGTTTTCTCCTTTCAAGTGTTACAAACAGTGAGGGGACCCTAGGCCAGCCCACAGGTCAGCTCCTGGGCCACCACACAATTAGCCACAGCAGACTGCAGTAGCAGACTCCGTGGGGACCAACATCCTCTCCCCGACCAAAAGTGAGCCTGGCCCCCTGGACTCGTGCTACCAGCAGGGCAGCAGGAGGAAGTGAATGCAGGTGCAGGCTGTCACACTGTAGAGGCTGCTCAGTGTGTGCGGAACAGCTGTGAGAGAAAGAGGGGAGGAGGGGGGAAATGGAGCATGTTTTCACCCACACACACTTCCGTTTACCCTTTAGGCTTTTTCCTTTCGTTGAAGAAAAAGTTGTGAGATGAGAAAAGTCCACAGGAATCTAGGTAAAAAGACTCTTCTTAAGAAGGCGCTTCTTTAAGTTTTTGATTTGTTTTCGGTGGTACTGGGGACTGAACCCAGAGGCCTTCACACTGAACTACATTCTCAGCCTTCCATTATTTTTGAGACAGGGTCTTGCTAAGTCACCAAGTTGCCCAGGCTGGGCTCAAACCTGCAATCTTCCTGCCTCAGCCTCCCTCATCGCTGGGGCTACAGGTATATTCACAGCACTATGCCCAACCTCACCTAGATGTTTCTACCATTTTGCTGTATTTCCCTGAAGCACCTGTCCCTGTTGTGTGTGTTTTTACAACACAGTTTATCAACATTTCACAGTCTGTTTCCACTTCACATTAAATTGTGGGCATGTTCTTTGCCCCACTGCCTCTGAAATACATACAGCAGCCTAATATCCCACTCTGTGATATAAGTAGGATGGAACCTGGTATCTCCTAATATGGATTATTTAGGTTGTGCCAAGTTTTTGCTCTATTAAACACCATTCCATCAAACACCCTTGCACAAAATCTTTAACACATGATTTATTTCTTTAGGACAGATTACTGACAGGTTATACCATATAAAAGGATTTATATTTCTTATCCTGTTTTTGATCCCATTTTAAAGGCCTGTGATATACTTAATTATGAAACTTTCAGAATGACTGTAAGAATCGCCAACTCTACTAACAGTGGATATGGTTATCCTGCTCTCTTAATTAAGTCTTCACCAACACAAAGATTACACTAAATTACTTCAGAAAATTACCCTGAGTTATAACCATTAATTTCTACTTATATAACTGAAAAATCAAAGGGCCAATGATTATAAAATGCTCAGTGTATTCACAAATCAAACAATAAGTTAATTTACTCACTGCAAGAACAGTTCTCCAGAAGAAGACGGCAAAGGAAACAATTCCCAAACAGGCAGTAAGCAGCACGGGCTTCCAGGGAAGCCCGTAAAAGTCGGGTCCAGGCTGAACATCCTCAGGCAGTGTAGCGATCAGCTGAAACAGGGCCGAAAGAAAGGGGAACTTTAACAGAACTGACAATAACGCAATCACAAACGGTCCTCATCGATGTTCCCAATATTCTAACCCCACTGCCAGCTACCCTGGAGAAACCTCCCGAAGGAGGACACCGGGGTCCCCAGCTGCTTGGCCTGCGGGGCCTCTAGCGTAGCGAGGGAGCCGTACTTCCAGTTGGCGACAGTCCCCCGCATCACCCCGTCCCACACACGGCTAGAATCTCCGCGGATCGTGCTTGGGTAAGTTGGCTTTTATTACTTAATAAAACAGCCCACAAGACGCAATTTAAATTCACGATAGAAGCAATCGACTCGTACGGCTGCAAATAAAGCCCCGGTGACAACGAGCAGCTCAAAGCGCGCGGGAGTCCTCCGCGACGCTGCCTTCCTCCCGTCCCACGCTCACGAGCCGGGCCCAGCGCCGCGCGCAGGTGGCCGCGCGCGGGGGGACAGCGGCTCCCGCCTCCGGGC